TTTCTCTTAAGGTGATGTGTCATCAGCGAAGCAGTGCCATCGAAAAATCCCTTTCCGCTCACCTACCACCTCTCACGTCCTCCATTCTGTTTGGCAGGGGCCCTGAAAAACAATCATCCCGGCCATGCTCCACTGCTTCCCATTATCAGTCTCATTTACCCACATATGTCTTTGCGTTTTCTTTTCCTCCCCTCCGCCTTTCTTCTATCTCTTCTACCTTTAATTGTCTTTGTCTTCTTTTGTCTCTGCCATTGTTTTTGCTCGAGCTGTGTTTTGTATTCTTCCCTACTTGATCTTCCCACCTTGCTCTCCCTTCCTGTATCTCATTATTGCTCGTCCCTTTCCTCCGTGTCTCTTTACCCCCGTCATCTCCTCCACGTGGCAAAAACGCTCTCTCAAGTCTCAGCCCAATCTTCATTATCCGACTCCTTCATTTTATCCGCTAATAACCCATTCAACTCCACTCGCTTAATCTCTGTGTTTACCCCTTCCACCCTTCCCAACACACACACACACTCCCATAATCTATAATTGAATCCTCTCACACCCAGGAGAGCTGCTCTTTTTAACACCACAGCTCTCCGTAACATGAATACACACACACAGAGTTGCACTGCCTCCCTCCCTTGCTCCAACCCCGTGCACCATGCCTACATTGTTGTAACAGTAATTCCACTCTTTCTCTCGGCTCACATTTAATTAGCTGGACTGGTATCACACTGTGTGACTTCTGTGTCTCGACAAAGAGATCGGAGGCTGGGAGGGCAGTTGGGAGTGGGGGTTGAGGCACCAGTGGCCACATGCCCCTGAATGGACAACGCAAGGCTGCACGCTAGCTTTGGCTCGGCTTGAGTGGGAATATTGTCTGTGGAGAACACAGCAGCTTGCACAGTGACTGTTGTCATCCTAATCTGTCATCACGCTTGTTTTCACTCTTAAACAAAAGAAGCAAAGTCTCAACATGGAGCCATTTATAGGGAAAGTGTTTTGGAAGTTGTGCCTTTGGCAATGTACGCTCCGCTGCCAGTTCACACCTAGCTGAAAGTAATGTAGTCTAATACAGCAGCCCTGCAATAAATCCCATCTTCATTCCTCTATGATTTATTGCAGAACTTTTGTGCTAGACTGCATGAAACAATAAATATACGTACCTCTATGTGTTAAAACTTAGATACACTTTTTAAAAAAAACTGTCTCTTTACACTGAATTTACAGGTACCAGCGAGATAGCTGAAAAACAGTATAGGGGCTTTAATTGTTGCTGAGATATGGGGTGAAAGATCAGACATGTGCTGTGGATGGGATCAGTGTCATTGACCAGTGCAGGTAATATTAAAATTACCCCATCTCCCCCAGAGAAATGCATCTCTTCTAATGGGGCTTGGGTCAGCGTTTCTTGGAAAAGCAGTGGGTCTGTGCTGTGGTTAGGTTTGAGCGCTGTTTGCATTTCAGCTGATACAATTACCTGGACTTCAGTACCGGTATCTTCTCCAGTACTTTACTCCCTCTGTTGCAGAAGTGTTTTGCTCTGTCTCTGTATTCTTCTTCTTCTTCTGTCTCTGTATTTTTCTTAGGGTTAGGGTTAGCAATTATGTTTCTCTGCTCTTTTCTAATGTCATGTAGTGCTGCTTGTGTGTGTGTGTGTGTGTGTGTGTGTGTGTGTGTGTGTGTGTCTGTGTGTGTTGGGCTGTGCGATATGGAAATTCATATCTCTGTATTTTCAGGCTGAATGGCGACACTACGAAACGGGCGACATGTTCATTTGCAAGTGAAAGCCACATTTGAGACGTCACAGGCACTTTTATAAAGACAGACTGTGATCAAAATAACATGCAAAGACAGGTTTTTTCCCTGTTTGAATATATGCAGCACAAAATGTAAAAATGATATAGAATAAGTAGCAGGGCTGTACGTTAACTGTTTGCACACAACACTGGAGCTACAGAGGTTTAAAGGCTTGCAGCACAGGACACAAAACTATAACATGAGTATAAAGGTATCAAGTAGGCCTAAATCCATTTTGGTTTAGAACCATTAAAAAGTCTTTGTGGGTGGACTTAAAAGTTATTTTCCATGGCCTTTCAAATAAATCTAGTGCTGGAAAATTATTTCAATATTTTTAATTATTTAAGCTACTAATTGTATTTAGGCACATAGCATCAACAGAGAGACCGAGGAAGGGAAGGAGTGAGAGACACTTTGTCTTTGTTATATATGTCTGTGTATGTTGTATATGAAATGTCTGTGTTGTCGCTGCATTTTTTTAAAAACACTTCTGTCGCCTGCATCCAGGCACTGTCTCAATGTCACAAAACAGACTACAACTACCAAGAAGAACAGCGATGTGCTAAGATCCACCTCACACACAAAGTAGCAGCGCTGGACTGCACGTGTGCTGCTGCCATAATTTGATTCATCTCACAGACTGATTTAGCGTAGCTTGTTCAGCATGTAGACCGATGTGGCACTGTATACTAACTAACAGACAGATTAAACACAGGAGTAGCTATGTGTCTCTGAGTGTTGATGGAGCTGTGCAGAGAGTGTGACAGAGGAGAGCTGGACACTGGTATGCTTATGTAACACAGCTTGACCCTATATTGATATAAATGGTATTGTCTCAATCTATATCTTGCTTGAAAATATATCGATATATCGTACATAGTCGGTATATCGTCCAGCCCTAGTGTGTTTGTGTATGTGAAATAAGTATGTGTTGAAACTGTCGCTGCAGATCAGCGCTACAGCAATAGTGTTGGCTCACTACAAAGCTGGCGAAGCTGTCGCTGGCCAGTGGAGCTTACCAGTTTTGGGACATGTTACATTGTTTACGCCTCCCGTCTGAACCCGGCAGCTCTGTGGATCTCCTTTGCCAGCTTCACTGTCTGTCTTGGTTAAAGTTAGGAAAAAATTGTGATTTGGGTTAAAATGACAAATAGATCTGTCAGATTTGACACCTATTGATTTAACATGAATTAGTACTCGGTAGTGCTGATGTAATTCAGTCTTAACCTTAAAGGTTTGGTATCCAACCTTAGTTGTGTTGGCTAGTACATTTCATGTCGACACTTCAAGGTCAGAGGCAGGTAGAGTTAGGGCAAAGAGATCATGGTTATGGCCAGTGCTAGTCAATCACAGCACAGTAGGAAGGGACCTGGCAAGAAAAGTTATGGGATCCATAACAACACCTTAAACCATGCAGAGCAGCAAGGCTCTGGAACAGCAAAAGTTTCACCTTCCTATAGGAGACAGATAATCAGGTCACCACAGACCTACTTACTGTGGCCCACCTCAGCACAGAGGGAAAGCACTGCTTAAGGACAGTTTATTTTTGAGTTTCTGCATGCACTCACAGTATAAAGCGGTGTCTGTGAGTCTATCTGTGAGTTAATTAATCCAGGAGTCTGTCTGTGAAGCTCTGCTGGGTATTCAGGCGAGGCGGGACCACCTTGGTCCAGCGATCATTGATTCTCCCTCATCAGCAAATCTCAGGCATTATTGGATGCGATCAAGCTTCTTACCAAGCTCCTCTCCCCCCCTTTGTCACTGGTACTCTCCCTGAGTTTGACACTTTTGAAAGCACACTGTTAAGTGCATCTGTGTGTGTGTTTACTTGCATCTTTGTCATTATCTCAGTGTGTTTTTGAATGTTAATGTGTACACTTGTCTGCTTTATCGGCCTGTGGCAGGGGAAGGAGAGCTTGTTTACAAGATGTTTTCATTGGTCTAGTCTGAACTGCTCTCCCCTCATCCGCTCTCTCACCACAGCTGTCTGTTCTACATCTGCTATGATCATTAAACTGCTTTTTAAAGGCATGCTATGCAGGAATTGTTGGCTACTGTTTGTAAACAGTATTACTAGTGAAAGTGAAAGCCAACACCAGCTTTGTCTGCTTGGCATTCTGCCTTGCTGTATTTGAATTTGTCAGTGCTGTGTCCTCGATTTTCAAAGCCTTCTCTGAGATTTGTGTGGCTTACGGTCTTCCACCTGGTCACTACCTTTAATAAAGTCTGGACTTTCCTTGCGCATTGTGCCCAGGAACGTCCTGAGCATATGAAATTAAGAAGAAAACGAAAATATAGGCAGAGGGCAGTCTCTTGTACACCACCACACACTTCTAGTGGGACGTAGGTGATGAATGGGAAGGATTTCTGACTCGATGCACAAAATATGATTTTTTTATGCGTTATTACAAGTTTATAATACACATTTTTATGTTACATTTGTCTTAAAAATGAATTTATACTTCTACGTCGAATCGTCACCGTACCGTACGTATATTTGTTTGGAAAATGTGTTTAATATGACAGTGTTTTGTCGGTGAATCTTGTGAGTTGTAATGGAGCCAAATTATGTGCCGTTACCTTTGTTAAATGTTGCTGTTTTCCCTGGCTTCATATGAGAGGAGGAAAAGTTTGCTAGTTGCTAGGCTAATTTATACAATGTAAAATGCCATAGGCTTGTGCTAAAATCATTAGCATGTTGTATTTGTGAGGAAAATGTTCCCAGAAAAAGACAAGTGCTTTGTCTGTGAATGCTGCGAGTTATAGTGAAGCTGATTTGTGGACTTGTGTTTGAAACTGTTGCAATTAAGCCATGTTTGTGTTTTAGAGGTGTAACTGCAGAGTGACACAGACACAGCTCCGCACAAGTATAAATGCTCACAACAGTGAAGGCCACGTGCATAGGCCACGTCGTAGGCTCTGCATTGAGGTGACGCACAACAATAAATCACGCTTTAGTCTTAAATGTGGTGAATCACAGTATGAACAAAACTTTCAATAAGACTATGATGTTTCAACAACTACTAAAGTGAACCCGCCTGCACTCAGTCCAGATGCCATCAGGTCATCTTTGACAGAGAATATGCATCCCAGGGTGCTTTAGTTTCTACTGTCCCTAATACACAAACTGTGGGTCTGCATGTCTAATTTGATGTTGATGCATATATGGATATTTATTTATAACACACTGCTGTGACTCTCCCTCTCTCTTGCAGGTGAAATCAGTGAAGACAGGCTCAGTATTTTGGACCATTGGTTGTTGTCTCTCCTATTTCTACATGGTGAGAATAGCACACACACTAACACTGACACAAACACATGTTTTTTTTTTGTTTTTTTTAGCTCAGTGGGAATTATAAATCAAGATTAGATTATGACTTGTTATTCTCATCTTTATTTTTTCATGTATAATTGAACTACACTGTACTCTGCTTTTATAGGGTCTTCTTATTTTTTATTTGACTTATATATTGTTTGTGTTTCTGTTTCACTGCTTTACAACCAACTGCCCTTTTGTGAAAACAACAGACCACAGAGTTACGGTTGGGTATAATGTAGATGTTGATCAATTCTGGTTCCAGTTTCTCTCTGACCATTTCTTGTCCTATTATTTGGGTAAGAGAGGACACCAAAGTACTGTTTATACAAAGCAAAACTCTGCCACAAACAATCATTCCACACAAGCAACAAGGGATTTTGTAATTCTTCTCAGTTGAAATGTAAGAAGAAAGACTCTGTATTTTGGCATTCACAAAGAACTTTCACTGGTTTGTACTTTGTCCTTACTCGATTTGAACACGCTGGCACTAACTGATTTTGCGGCACTATGATGACAAGAGTGGACATCAAAAACGCTGTGCTCTCATACACTGCTGCAGGAAACGCTTTGTCATTTTAGTCAGACTTCTTCTCAACTATGAAGATATTGCCATGTTTTGCAACTGTCTTTTGTAACGTAGCTCTTGCTCTGGTCTGCCATTTTTTAAACACTTTGCCTTTCGGAGTTCTCTCAACAAATCCCACTTTATATGTATTTGGAGCTGGTTTCAAATACATATCTGCTTCTTGGTAATTAACTCCTGAGATGGTAGTGATGGGAGCGATTGTCCTGTGTCCAGCATGGACATGGCCAAGGCATGGCAAAAAAGGAGGAGCAGTCTCGCCAGTGTTGTCTGCATTATTTATGAAGTCAGGCACAAGCCCATCAGGGGATTGATGAGAGAGATGAGATAAAAAGACGATCCGGGCTCACTGCCTCAGCGACAGATTGTTTGCATGTGTGTGTGAGGGAGCGTGAGCGCCTATGAAAATCTCCAGCTTCTTGCTCATTCCTGGCTAAATCTCTGTGGCTGGCAGTGAGACAGATATCAAATGAAACAGATTACCGAGATCCAGCTTCATCGATCACACTGGGCCACAGCGTCCGAGGGGGCGTAGAGAGGATTGGGGAGATAGGGGACTGATGGAAAGATGAATAGAATAGGAGACCAAACAGAGAATGGAGACAGGCAGAGACAAAGGGAGAGAGGTGTGGAAAGATAAGGGGAGAACAGGATAGACTGGACAGAGACGGAGAGAAATGCAGAACGATAAGACAGGCGAGAGAATATGTTGTGATGTGTAACTTCCTCACTGTCCTCGTCAGAAGGATCGGGAACATAGAGTCTCCATGCTTCGTTCTCCTTATTACCACTTTCTCTCCTTTACACCCCCCCGTCAGCGATGTGATGTTCCTCTGTACTGCAACCGCAGCCCACCCACTGTTGCAGATGAGTCCTCCAGCAGTGAGCAGCCAACTAGGCTTGTATGTCTCCATCAGCACCACCAACCTCTCAAACGCCCCCCCTGTCTCCTTCTGGTCCAGCACACAAAGTGCCGTATCCACTCGTTGACCCACCCATACCTTTTTTTTTTTTTTATCACCTTATGCTGTCACTTTAATCAGGATATAGCCGAGGCTACATTTTCCTGTGGGGCTTAATCGAATGTGACACTCGTAAAGCAGATATGGAGACAGAGAGGGACAGATCCCCTGCCTGGATATTGGCATAATCAGGAGGGAGAGGACGGAGAAGGACAAGATTAAGAAGAGGATCAGAGCAGCAGGACCCTACTGATGGACAGGAGCCACAGGAGCCATTCTGGGTAGCTGCGCAACATCCTCCTTTCATCCCTCCAGGGGTGAGGGTAGAGTGGGTAGGGGTGCAGCGAGGGGAGAACAGAGGACAGAGCAAAAGCAGATGCACAGCACTTCTTATTCCCAAAGCTTTGGCTTACTTTTCTCTCTAAACCCTCCAGAATCCCCTCTATCAGCACAAGCAGTAACGTCAGGGCACACCAAAAGCTGTTCTGCTTAATCAACTATTGATTAAATGCCCTGAACACAAGGCTCCTCAGGTGATTGTTAAATAGATGTCACTTTGTTTAACATTTTAGCCATGCTAGCAGTGTGGCTCTAGGGATGTCAATGGTCGGTCTGTCCTCTGCTTTGCTCCAGACTGAAATGTCTCAACAGCTGGATGGATTGCTCTGAAAGTATGTACAGACGTTCATGTTCCCCAGAGTGTGAGGCCTTCTAATGCCATCAGCTAGTCAAAGTGTTCACCTGTCATAATGCCAACGTCTACTTGATGGATTGGCACATTCATGTTTCAGTAAAGATGTGCCTAATGACTTTGGCGATTAGCTGACTTTACCTCTCGCGGCAACATATTGACATTTTTGGTTGTAAGTAAAATGTCAGCAGATTTCCAATGAATTTCCATAAATCAAAGTTTTGACTTTGCAACCAAATACTTGCAAAGACATTCCCATCAGCCTTAGCTGTATTTTGTTTTTTGTGCTAATTAATACATATTAGCATGCTAACATTGATAAACTTAGATGCTGGACATGGTAAATATTATACCTGCTGAATATCAGCACGATAGCATTGTCAGTGTGACCATGTTAGCATGCTAATGTTAGCATTAAACACAAGTACAGCCCAGCGACTTTATATAAAGATGTACAACATGTCTCCGCCTCCTCCCACTGTACATAAATAAGGCTAAAAAATCCCGGATACGGCCTCTGCTGTCTTGCGCAGGTGAGGTCATTTGGAGTCAAAGTCTGGCAGTAGCTATGTGTCAGCAGTATAAGGAGCAAAAAATCTAAGTGCAGCTTTTTGAGTTTATGAAAAAAACATCTCTGAAGTTGCAGTTAGGAATGACATCATCTGTAAGTTTAATCTCGGGGTTCAGGCAAAGATTAGGTTAATAAACAGCCCATGCCAAGGCGTTGTTGCCTTGGAGTGATCACCGTCTGAGTCGTATGCAGACATACACACATACAGAGGTGCTGCCTAACAGTGGAATCTAATGTGAATTCAAAGAGCAGCCTGTGTTGCAACTGAAACCTTTCTGTCGACCCTCGCTCATTAAGAGTCCTTGTTTTTAATGTCATTTTAAAGTCTTCTTAATGAACCATCACTGCTGCTTGGAGAGAGGAGAGGGAGCAGTCAGTGAATATGGACACACAAAGAGAACAGAAATCATATTTATTTTCATAAATGAACCGAACAACGCCAAAAAGGCTTGCATAGGCAGGCTGCAAACACTTGTGCACACATATAGATGCACACAGACACACACACAGTTAAACCTTCCTCCCTGTTGCATGCTGTGTTCTCTATATCCTCTTCAGTGTGGCCCTGTGGTCACCAGATAAGCCCAGTATGAAATGCACAGAGCGATAACAGCTAAAAGACTTTGCTCCAAACATTTTCGGATTCCTGCCCTCCGCTGTTAGCCTGTGGCTCGGGCAAAGGGCTGGCTGTTAGAACCATAATTTCAAATAGATCTTGTTCGTGCGTACACAGACACACACACACACATACACATACACAGCTTTGGTTTTTGTATTGGTCATTCATCTTAGCATGGTGCTCTAATGTGACCAGCTGGCTGGTTTCTCCTGTTCTTTTCTCCTTCAGTTGATTCAAGAGGTAAATCTGCAATCAGGTTACACTGTAGAGTTTGCTGAATAACAGACGCTGAGATCATCATGTCATATGGAAGCTACTGTATTTACTGACCTAAATGCTTTGGCCATTAAAAGCTTCGATCGTTACTATGGTAATTGACGTCCAAATCAGTAATCGAATCTCAGCCAAAGATATTTAAACTTAGGTGATATTTTTGTGACTCCAACTCGCTCCACCAGCAGTCCAGCACTACTGAAACTAGAACAGCATGACCACACGTAACAGGCTCACAGATATGCTAGCAAGATCTTGAAAATGTCAAGCATGTGGAGTCGTTTAAAATTTGTGAAGAAGACCCTCAAAAAGTCAAGTGTGAGATATGCTGAAGAAAGCTGGCATAGCACTAATCTACAACAAGCTTGACAAATCACCTGACAACTGTAACGGCTTAGCTGTCTTGCAAAGTTTTTTTTTTTCCCCAGCTATTATGGCTAATGTTAATGCGACCTGCAACTAAGTGGTTAATGTTGTTAGGGTTAGGGTGTTTTAGGTGCAATAAAAGTCAGACGTATGTCCTCATCTGTCATCCTCAAGGCTTTGATTAATTACAGATATTACTCACTGAAGCTTTGATGCCCAAAAATTGGTATTCCAGACAATGTTACCATGTTGATATTAGAGTGTAGCACAGCCCTGCCTAATTACAGCCTCGGAGAGCAATGAGCATGGCTACAGATTCATAAAAATATTCAGCTTTGTGCTTAATGACAATTCATGCCAAACAAACATGGCTGCCTCATGCCAGCTGAAGCACATTATTCACTTAGTGTTGCTAAACCTGGCTTTAATGCCATTTTGATAAGTGAACTCTATTTTTAAACCCACATGGCAAATTATATAACTGCAGCACAGCGTTAGTTAACTATTAATTTAATATGTAAATCACACCAGCTGCTGCTCATCTCCATTCTGAGTTACCCTGAATGCTTACAAACAGTGACTATGGGAATTTTTTCAGTCACTATCTTCCCTTTTCTCTGACGTGGCATGCAGCCTCCTACGCTTTTGCCCAGTTAAGTACCCAAAGGGAAAACAAACCTAAAAAATAATGTTGACTTTGACTCTCTGAGTCAGTAATGCACCTCAGTGATGCCAGGGAGTCTAACTCAGAGGGATCGATATTTTAAAAAGGTTTTTTTATTAGGTTTACCCTGGAAAACACTGGTGTGGCTGGCATGGTTTTTGTGAATTAAAGCACGCTATGATTTCACAAATATACTTAGTGATTTACAGACCTTCACAGTCAAGTGGCGGGGTGACTTGCCTTTGTAGACATGTCTGCTAACATACAGTATCTTTTAGACTGAGCTGGATTTTACATCCTCCTATTGCAGATACAGCATGTTTGGTTCCTGCAGTAGATTACATTTAGTTTTGGCCACATGCAGAGGGTGATTTGAATTATTGCCCATTTTCTCTTTCTGTTACTAGACATTGAAAAATGTTACAGTATTGCAGCCATGGAGCCAGCAGCACTGCACGCTCTGTTTCGAGTGTTATATTTTTAGTCAGATCTCAGCCAGTCAGCAACAGTGAGTCGATCAGCCGCCCCTGTGTCAACACTTAAAATGAGTCTTAAATTGAAGTCGTTTCTGGTATTCATTCAAGTTACGGTTCACATACTACTAATTGGCTGTCACCATCTGAGAGAACAGATGCAAACTACTGCCAAAAGATAATTGCACCTAACCATTCAGCGAGGAACTTATTTAGGAGTTTTTTTCCTCTCCGCCTTAATGTAGCATATTAATGCTTTTATCAATTAGACATGATGTGCTTGTTTTTCCTGTGATTGCAGAAGCGTGATGAATGCTCTTTTCATCGTACTGAGCAGGTGCAATGGGCTGCTTTCCGACAAGCTGCTGCGAATAAAGGATCAAACAATTTGCGTACATGCGTTCCCTTTTCCTGTTTAATTCACTCTCCCTCTTTCTCTGTTTCACTTTCTAGCACTTTACTACTCTTCTTTCTCGCTTCCTCTGTCTCGCTTTCTCTCTCTCAACACTCCGTCTCCCTGCTCTCTCCGTCTGTCTAGTGCTCTCACTGTTTCCATCTGCCCTTTGCTGTAGTCAAGTGTAGGCAATTGAGAACTTGTCAGTGATGTTTTTGTAGTTGTTTTATAGCCCCCACATCCAGCGCTGTGATATTTAGCGGACCTCAAAAATAGGTGAGGTATAATTTTAGTGAAGCTTTTAAAGTTATTGGTGCAGCTCACATTTTACACCTAACATGTAAAGTATGATTGCCTAGTTTTTATAGATCCTATATACGTCAGGTTTTTATAGCTGTGTGCTTGTGTCTAATAGTGAAGAGGCGATAAGAGTAGGATGGTTTTACATCCGTTCGTGACTGAGTCTGTGCAAGATTTGTGAGGTGACTTTTGTGCAGAGCTGCATATATATAAGAAGGGCTGCTCGTATATATGGATTGATTATCTTTTTATGTTATTTGAAATGTTAAAAATCAATCCGCACATATTCAGTTTTTGCTTTTACTTGTATATTGGAGCTGGAACAATTAGTTAACTAGTGGATTGACAAATACTCTTTATTTCTATTTTAAGGGTATCTATTCAGCTCATTTTCAAGTTCATAGTTGTGTTTTGGGTTTCTATTGGTTCACATGCTTCAATGTTCACAGTTCATTTTCCTCATACTGCCCGTGCTGGAACGCCTGTGCTCACGCTCTGTCCAAGACACTCCGTTTTAGCGCCTGTCTCTTAAAGCTCCCCTCCTGAAAAAACCCAGTCTGCTCTGATTGGTCAGCATTTCCAGGTCTTCTGTACCTGCGCCAAGCTGCCAAGAACTGCACCAGACTTTGAAGCCAAAGACTTGCATTTTGAAAGAGACGTCTGCAAATCAGTGGATAGATTTTTATTTTAACATCACAACCCCTGCGAAATGGCTGGTTTCATCATCTGGATTGGCTCCTTTTGATTCGGTAACATTTCGAAAATCTTGGAAGAGCCACACGATTAACCCCTTTCAAGTTGGTGCAGGGCTGAACAGGAAGTTAGCCACGCCACTACAGGAAGTCTCTAGTACGTTATATATGCCCAATGATACAGAGACAGAGCAGAAGATTTGTGGAATTGTACACACGGAAATTAAATTTTTTTTTTTTTGCTTCATGCACCACTGAGCAACTTTCATAGGAATGAATGCTGTATCAAGTTCTCTTTATACATCCATGATCTACGCTCTTGGTGTTACTGCACAGTTGTTGCAGCCAGGGCATGACTGTAACAGAGAATAATAGAACTTTCTAAAAGTGATTAAAAAACGGGAGTAGAAATTAACAACATCAGCAACCAAGATTACGTTTCCTTGTAGATCGCATGTAGCTACATGTAGCAGTGTAGGCTAAGTAATGCGAACTCTTGCAGTAGTCTGCCTGTAGCAGATGACTATATAAAGACATCCGTCACAAACTGACGTCATCTTGTCTGGAAATTAGAAACGATCTAAAGCCTGAGGTTTTTACTCACGGGAATTACTTTTACATTTGTTTAACTAATTATTTAAAACCTTTGGCCGTGTCTAATATGAACATCCGACATAATAATAGTCGCTCTTAAAGTAAGTATGCCAGATATTTGATGCTTCAGTCATCTCAGATATTAGTAAATGCTGCTTTTCTTTCTGTTTTATTTTATTGTTACCATCTGTTATCTCTCGGTTTTGGGCTGTTGATCAGACAAGACATTTAAAGATATTACCTTCGGCTCTGAGAAATTGTAAAGTAATCAAAAGAGTAATTGACAATGAAAATAATTGGTAGTTGCAACCCTATTGTGCATGAATTCTATTTTTTGGAGGTGGTGGCAGCATTTGAAGTTAAGTGGTTAAATTGGAAACTATAACAGCTGGAATTCAGTTAATATTTTCAATGTTGCTGGAAGTTAAAAATTGATTGTGATGGTAGATGCTGTGGGAACAAATGGCAACAGACAGCACTGAATTTAAAAACTACAATAACTTTCAGTCACACATAATTGCACCATTGTGGCAGACCAATCTGCAAATTGATTTACATTTCCATATAGATGTTTTAAGCTACAGAAACATTTAAAAACCGGTTGGATTATTGGGAAAATGCACGTCACGAAACTGAAAACTGCTGGAGATGTAGTCATCTCAGAGCAGCTACAATATGTCACTTGTTCGGGCAGCAAACTCTCATGCTTTAAGGTTTTTGTTGTCTTTATTTATTCCTTCTTGCTTTTAAGAGGTAGCATACAACGACAGTATGGGAAACCCTTTGTGCCTCAACAGGACTTTGGGTTTCGATTAGCTCCCGTCACTGAGGGAAACCTGACATCTCTCCTGCAGAGCTGATTTGTAGCACTTTAACAGAAAAGTCTCCACTCAGCAGGGTTACCTCGTTTGAAACAGAAAAACAAAAAGAAGAATAATTGATCATACGGGCCAGTTCTTTCCAAACGACTGTTTTAGAGAAAGGATTATGTCCCAGCAAGCTGACTGACATGTCTATGTGTATGTGTGTGTTCTAGGTGTCAGCATGGGGAGGTTATGTGTTTATTATCAACCTGATTCCTCTGCATGTTTTTGTGCTGATGCTGATGCAGCGCTACAGCAGAAGAGTCTACATCGGTAAGCTACACAAACACACACACACACACACACACACACACACACACACACACCACACAATAACTTTTAGCATGTGACTTGATGTTTAAACCTCCCCCTCATACAGTCGCTGAAAAGGGAACTGACAGTGTTTATCAGATCATCTTTTATTAGAATAGAGATGTATGCAATGAACAGACAAACCGCCACTTCCTCCTATGCGTCTCCGAATGTTGTCGTCCAAGCATTTGACCCTGAAACAAGCTCAAATGCCCAGTCATGCCTGTGCTCATCTCTCACAACCGTGCACATTCCATCATCGGCAGTGCAGACATCCACACACCCACACACCACTTAACAGTAAATGCAGCCACCTGCTACCTGATCCTCTTTATTTATTTATTTATTTATTTATTTATTTATTTATTGTAAATACCAGAGGCAGAGCGCCGGTAAAGAGGATAGGCTTGTTATTCCACTGAGCATCCCAGTTTCATAGAGCACGTGTCAGCTTCAGCACATTATCTGTCGGCTCAGAGAACTCGAGCTCAATCCCTCAGACCCTCCACACATCTGTCGTCAGCTCGAGCTGAGCGGCAGGCACTTCTATTGTGGTCAAGAAAAATGATACCATGACAAGTATTCTTTACACATGATTATATGTTGCACTCACTGTAACCGCAAAGCATAGTCTTTGAGAGCTCTGAAAATAAATTATGGCCTCTTCACAGTGAGAGGGCTTTGACCTACCTCTGCTCTATCTCCAAACGGTTCTCCAACAATGAAATTCTACTTGACGTTGCAGAGCTGTTAGATGAAGTGGAAAATACCTTTCCACCTTCATTGTCCCTCAAGGATGTCTGCAGCCAGAGTATCACCCAGCAACCTCATGTACCTTTTAGTAGCAAATGAGAAACCAAGGCGATTCATGGTTGACTGAAATTTACTTTCTCTTTAACCAGATGAACCTGTGATGAGGGGGGAAAAACTGCATCGTATCTCCAGATTAAGTTAACCAACATGTACCTAAACCCTAGATCTAGTTAGCCTTTCCACTGCAGACAGTACTCACTGCTCAGTCCAGCTCTTACTGTGTTTTCTCTTCAGTGGTGATGCAGAGGAACGCCTGCACCCCATTTATTGTCCATGGAATGGATTTGCATGCCGACATTTTCAGAAGAAAAAGAACAGGCTGGAGTTTCTCTCAATGGGATATTTAATAAAAGCAAATTAGTGCATTGAGTCCTTGTTGGACACCAGGGTGTAGTATTGCCAGAGCACACTGAAACAAAGTTCTGCCACTTTTTTGGCTGGACCGCAGAGGCAAGGCCAGCCCTATAAAAAATAAAGTGAGTGAGTGATGAAGTTACTCATGATGTGGGTGTTTTCTCACTGGCCATTGATCTTTCGAAATGAATACTCACTGACAAGCCGACAGAGCCATCAACGCAGAACGTCCTCTATTATTTAGTGTGTTCCATTTGTATTGGGTAGTCAGAATTTCCGAGTTCCCATTTGAAAACTTCAACTGGAATGCCCCCTGGAGTCAGATGTCCAACTGTGGAAAGTCAAAGGAACCTCATCAACCCCAAACTCAGAATCCAATATGGCTGCTCCGTTATTCACAGAGACTCTCTTTTTCATTTTGGACAAAAAGCTTTGGAAAATTTATTTTTGTCAAAGAATGTCATTTTCAAGTAAAAAATCAGTTTCACATTTACATTTTTTTTTTTTTTTTTGTTAACGTCAGTTTGAATTGTAGAAGTGAAAATAATACTAATAATGAAAATGATATTCTCTTTGAGGTATAGTTGAACACGTCGGCACGCTCAGTGTCAGTACTGCAAATACTACAGTGTCTGCCTCTCCACTGTGATCGTCTTGTCCGTGTGTCACTGTCACCGTCACGGAGATCCTGTTTCGTCCCACCAAACTCGTTTGCTTCCTCATCCAAATGTCATTCAGAATGTTGATCACAACAGGAAGTGTCAGAGTCTGAGTCCATCAATATCTCCACAGCTTGCACAACTGTTTTACGCAACTTTTCCATTGGCGCCAGCATTTTCATGCAGTTTACAAGCAGCTACATTTCTGCAGTTGCTGGTATTGCCAACAACATCTTTGTTTTCTGACTTGTACTGGAACGCAATCAAGTCGGGTGTGAAGCTACTCCCAGCTCCAACCTATACTGATTTTGTATTGACCAATCATTAGACTAAAGTGTTTTTAGTATTGGGTCACAAGACTCGCTACCTCAACATAGGGGTGACAAAAAAAGGGGATGGTACAGAGTGGTTCTATCGGTACCATCCACAACTTCTCACAATGGAAACACAAAGATAACCATTCCAATGTGGGATGAACTGAACTGAACTAAACTGAGCCAGACTGCCTGGTGGAAACAAGGCTATACTGGACGCCGTAGAAGTTGACTCTGTGGTCAACAATGTCATATAGAGAAACCTACCTTTTTTTTGCCTAGAGGCTAATGTCAGCCCTTGTGCCATTCCAACAAGGGCTTGGTTGCAAGCGTTTCCTGTTCAGAAGTTTTGTAATCCAACCTTAAACTGTGGTATCTTTTCAGAGACTTCGTAAAATAAATTTTTTTTTCCATGTTTGAAAAATTAAAGTTAAAAAACTTTCAACTTCTAGGCAAAACGCTGCGCTTATCACTGTAACTCTTTACCCAGTTGTCCAGTCTCGCTGGACAAGGGGCGGGACAATGACCAGCCCGCACATACATGTACAAGTGCTGAACAACAACTATTGTTTTAGGTTGGGGAAAAAACATCTTGGTGGAAACACAGCCTTATGAAAATAACACCAGTGATTGTCCAACCAATGAGAATATGGTCGGACAAGGACATATCGACCAACTGACCAGAGGGTGTCAGCCCTAGTAGGCATATTCTGTTGACAGAAGAGACATTAGGACTTCAGGCACGTCCTGTAGTTCTCACCTTCCCTCCTCTTAACATCTTACAGCTCCTCTTTCCAGAGCCAGGTGTCTCTCAGCCACTACACAGGAACATACAAAAAGAAAAAAAGAAAGAAACTCCCGGTTTAATAAAATGCCTCGCAGTCTATGTTCCCTCACAATTCATCTCTCTCTGTCTTGAGTCAATAGCAGATGTGTGAGAAAGAGATAGCTGAGGGCAGTCACAACTACTTCAAAAACGAGGCACACTCTTCAGGAAGAGTATGAAATCTTAATTAAGCTGGTGCGCCTGCGAATCGGTTCCCCCCAGCTACAAAGGTGGGAGTTGCACTGTTCTCAGCACCATCGTCTCACTTCAGGCCTCCCCGCCACACTGCACCGAGCCAGCTCCCATTTTCTCAGTAAATGACATTAGATTAGGTATTTTGTATTTACTCCCTCTGAGGTGCGACAGTGAAAATCAATAGACTTTAAATACCTCTATTGAGGTTGATTTCCTATAGTAGGGCCCAAACTGCAGTAGTGGATCCGAATAGAGGGGATTTTAGTTGTGCTATAGTTTATTTTCATGTTTTTATTTCTTATCTGATCCACTCTCTGTCTCCTGTTTTGTCTCTTCTCTATTACAGCTTATAGCACTTTCTACATTGTGGGTCTGGTACTGTCGATGCAGATCCCTTTTGTTGGCTTCCAGCCGATCAGGACCAGCGAGCACATGGCTGCTGCCGGTAAGTCCCATCCTCTCTACCTCCAGGGTGGCTGATCCTGCATTCCTCTAGTGTTCCCTTCAAGAAAATTGCCATTTAGAGTGCAGTGATGAAGTCAGCATTTCCTGGGGAATGTATCTGCCTGATTCTGCAAGTGGAAGTTGAAGTGTGAATATTGGAATTATACTCATCAGGTGGCTACAAACACAACTGTGCAATGGCCAAAAAAATAATTTAATACAGGTTTAAAGAGACGATTCGACCCCAAATCAGTAATTCATATTTTACCTCTTACCTGTAGTGCTGTTAATCAATCTAGATTGTTTTGGGATGAGCTGCAGAGTGTTGGAGAGATCGGCCGTAGCAATGTCTGCCCTCTCTCTAATATAATGGAACTAGATGACACTCAGCTTGTGGTGCTCAAAGGGCCCAAAAATACATCTAAAAAACTCAAAAGCAATGTCTCTTTTAGAAAATCATGACCCAGTTATTCAAGATAATCCACAGATTTTGTTATGAGCAGTTTCATGTAGGAACTATTTTCTTTTTACCGAACTGCACCCACCAATTGTATCACTGCACAGAAGGAAGTGTGCATCTACTCATGGACTACAGGCTCGGGCTTGTAAGAGTTGTACACTTAATGGCGTCCTCTTTGGATGAGCTGTGACGTTAGCTAGCTCAGTGGTTCTAAGTTAGCTAGCAGTAGAAACCACCAGTATACTATCTTACGCGTGGTGATAAGGTTGGTGGTTGTAGTTGAGTAGAAAGAAAAGCGTTCCAACATGAAACATGGTTTCTGGAAAGACACATTGCTGTTGAGTTTTTCAAATGTATTTTTTTGGCTCTGTGAGCACCACAACCTGAGTGCCATCTAGTTCCATTATATTGGAGAGAAGGCAGACATCTCTATGGCCAGTATCTCATGCACTCCGCAACTCTCGCCAAAACAATCTAGACTGATAAACATCACTACAAGTAAGAATAAAAATGTGTATTTTTCATAAGGGGTGAACTGTCCCTTTAATGCTACATTTATCTTTGCTAAAATCCGTGTTATAATGTACACCTCGAGTTACACTGAAATTATTTCCTATTTAAAGTTATATTGCACAGACGGTCTGGGTTCTATACAAGGACGCATTGATAAACGGCAGCTGCCCTGACCCTGCCAACAAATGTATGCTGCAACACAAGGGAAGGGTTCAGGTTGACTGCTGCAGTTCATGTATTAAAGGTGTGACTTTACATAAGCCACCTGCTTGTTATCCAAAGCACCTTACAGTACCGAGGATGCACACAGTTTAAGATAGTTTGGCTGCATTGGGAATTGAATCCCCCCCTCCCCGTGCTGACAGTGTTAGTCATGCTCTGTGTGTAGAGGAACACGTGACCTTCTCAGAATATATTTACAAAATAGAAAAAAGTAAGCAACTTCACGAGCCACCCATATGGGTTTAGCTCTTTAAGTACTTTTCATTTTTGGCTTGTGGGTAGTTTATTAAAGCTTGTTCAGTTTCTCCACTCAAGAGTGGGCCCATCTGCTGCCTGACAGCACGGATGGGTGCTTATGTATGTTCATGATTTTTGTGTTCATTTACATCCAGATTGGGAGAGGACTGTCGTTGGCAGCTTCAGGAAGCCGAGCAGCACCTTTTTTTTTTCTTTTTTCTTTTGAGAATTCTCTTAACACTGCAGCAGGCTTACGTTGAAGTGTCCCTGTTTTCCTGTGTGTCAACAACACAAACAGTATTATGAGAGGCTTTGAAAAAAATGCACCACCAAAAATCATCTCTGCCTCTCTCTGTTTTTGGCTCCCCGCTCTCTCTGAGTGTGTTTTTATGTCGCTGGGGTAGCAGCTGCTCAGAACATCTGGTGGTAGCATTCAGGGAGCACAGTGGGAGACAGGAAGAGAGTGACAGAGCCGCGGACCTGTCGGTACCGTTGAGATGTCAGCCCCTGAGGCAGGCAGGCGGGGTGGCATAGACTGACAAGCGTGTTAGCACCATGGCGGCTCTCCAGGAGACAGGCTTAACCTTGGAAATGGGTGAGACCTGCTGTGGGCGGTGGTGGTGCTAGCGCAGGAGTAGAGGCGATTTCACACAAGATTTGTCAAAGGATGGGAGGTGACGAAAGGGAGGGAAACCAGGACTCTTTTACATTTTTTATATTGAATTCACCAGATAAACAAAGAAGACGCACTGGAGAAACAGGCGCTGAGAAAGTGACAGAGCAAAGGAACGGGGGAGAGAAGTGTGACCGAAGGGGCTGCGAAAAAAGAAAGGCAAGGCGAGGGAAAGAGAAGGGCTTATTCACACAGATCTGTCTCATGCATTTGAAATATGTTGTCCCGCAGTATTTGTCTTTTACATCTGCATGAACAGCCAAAGGGGCTATCGCAAACTGCTTTGTCGAGGATTCTGCCGAACTGACAACGGCGCTTCGTAACCACGTAAACCTGCTTTGTACCCTGCAGGAGGGAACATGAATCAGGGCCTCCTCAAACACTCAGTGCGAGTTTCTTTTGTATGTTTGCTCGTTCTTATGTTTGTGTCTGTGGCTTCTTTCTCAGGTGTGTTTGCACTTCTCCAAGCCTATGCCTTCCTGCAATACCTGAAGGACAGGCTGACCAGACAGGAGTTCCAGACACTTTTCTTCCTTGGAGTCTCTCTCGCTGCTGGCGTGGTCTTCCTCACTGTGATCTATCTCACATACACAGGTCTGTACGTCTGCTCACATGGTTTCGAATAATCGTAAACCATCTCATTTATTGTGTTAACTGTTCTTGTAAGTAGAGCTGATAGTTGACAGAATTTTACTCCGTGAATAATAGTCAGTGAAGTCAATTAATTAAGGTTTCAGCTTCACAGTTTTGAGTATTTGCTACTTTTCTTTTCTAGAATTGAATGTCTTCAAAGTTTGACTGATAGTCAAGCAAATTGAAAACATCACCTTGGGCTCTGGGAAATTATGTCTAAATTAATTTAACAGAAATCAATACATTTATTTATAAAACAGATAATTACTTGTAGGCCTCCTTATAAGCAATTATCATCAGTTACAACCAACACGGCTCGGCAAATGAGCAGACTTGTTATTAATCAGTAAACATATTACTAAACATAAACAAAACGGCTAATCAAACAAGGATCAAATTGATAAATGCTGAGAGGCTGTTACAGATCTCATCATAGTTCACCTGGCTGCAGTCTTAATTTAATTAATGAAAACTATGACAGCCAATGACCTTTTTCTATGACTAAGACTAGATGATGATGAGATGGCACCATTGCAAACTGCCATGAAGCACCGGGAAACACTGCCTGCATCCTTTCGGAGCCCATGTTCACTGGCTGTTTAGACAGGATGCAGTGCAGCACTGAGCTCTGCAGCCGGCTCACGATTTGCAGCAATAGTTTCAGCGTCTGGTCTGTTTTTTCCATCAGGACTCGACTGGTAACACACAATGAGCATAGTAGGTCCTGGAGAAACTAAAGTTAAATTTAACAATGACAACAACAGGGCTTGGGTTTGTACAACTGTCATTGTTTTATATGGGCCTCAGGCAAGTTATTGAATCGTCTTGGTTCAAAATTTAGTTTATTTAACATACATGTGTTCATAAAAGACAGAGTTTAAAATGTTAAGACGTTGTGCAGGAGAGGCTAGACACAAAAATGTCTCTATAAACATAACTCCCCTATAAAATAAATATGTAAACCAGTAGTTTCATGTCTGGATGAATTCTTTAAATAGATCTCATCAGACCACTAGACACTCTCTGCAAAATAGCTAATCATTCAACCCGTGTTCTTAATTTGATAATGACCAGAGACAGTCTGTGAAGTAATTTTTGACTAAAATGTTAAATTAGATGTCAACAGTTTTCATTGACTAGAACTTAACTAAAAAAGCTCTGTTTTTCTTTGACTAAGGACCAAGTCATAGTGTCTGTGATCGCGTGTCTTCAATCTCTTGTTCCAAAGGCCAGTCCCAGTCCCATCCCATCTAAATACTGCAATCAAGCCAGCTGCATTGGCGGCACCATTGTGAAGTTAGTTTTAAGTTAGATATTCGACAGACATTCACTCCAGATCCAGCAGCATCTTCTTAGTTTCACTTTTACCCGATGCCACAGTAGGACGGTAAGCCTGCCTTCTAGCCCTCCTGTTAACTGCTAGGGGTGACATGGACCCTCAGTTGTGTTGTATTTTGAATAGAGTTGTGTGGGCATCCACGTGACAGGGGCTGTCCACAGACGTTCAATGCACAAAGTAGGTCCAAGCTCTAAGATAAGACTAAAACACCCAGACTTTTGGTAAACTAAAACAATTACTTGACTAAAACAGTAACAGGATGAGGTTGACTAAATATGATAAAAATAACAGGGACATTTGACACAGCAGTAGGACTTAATAAAAATAGCTGACAAAATGAACTATACCCGGCTGTATGCTCTTAAAGGAAAGCCTACCTGGTATATCAATATATCAACAACAGTAATAGGCCTGCCCAGTCTAGGAAATATAACATTTGAGTCTCTATAATGCAGTCAGAATATTCTTGTGAATGTCAACAAGTTAAATTAAACTTTGTTCATGTTGTCCAGTCGCACATGGAAGTCTGACACAACAAAAGTGGCTCATACACGAGGCGTTGTTATGTAGTAAACTTCGTAAAAATGAGCGGTCCAGTGTTACTGTGGCAGATCATCCTCCAATTAGGATGTGTTGGTGCTACTGCCAACAAAAAACTGCATCTAGTTTGTAACATAATAGAACGTGGTAATGTTTTCACCCCCATCTGTTTGTCTGTTTATTAGCACAATATATAAAAAAAATTACCCTGAATTTGGCTGAGGTTTGGTGGGAAAATAGCCTTTTGTGCAAAGATCAGTTGGCTTGATATTTTTGATGGTGATCCAGATCTGGGATTTCAGCCATTTCAGATTTTGTTTTCTTTATTTAGCCAGAAGTTACAGTATGCTCATACACTATCCCCCCTGGTGGTCTGACCTCCAGGCCTCCCAGTGGGCTGCTAATCAGCATTTGGTTTGTCAGAAAATTAAACCCAGAAGGCAAATGATAAACAAATATAAACTGATATGGACGCTGCAGCTTTGCAAGTTGAAGAACTGTTGAGCGTTGGTGGACTGTGCTCTATCGAGGGCCTTTTTGTGGGATTATATGAGTGTTGTTTTTGACTGGCATGATTGAACCCTGATATGCACAGCTGGCTGGTCGAACTTTGTCCTTGTTAATGTTTTTCTCCATTATTTTCAGCTCTGCCTGCGATTTGGCCACAAGGTTTCAGACCTTTCAAATGTTGCCTGCTTGCTATTTATTGATTTTATTTGTCTCCTGATAAAGAGTTCATATTTAGGATGACATAGCCTACCATCTTTTTGACACTGGTTTTGTTTTCCTTATCTAGTGCTTCATTACCTCAGACTGGTCTTATAAAGCTTGTATAGTTTACTGTGTGAGAAGAGAGATCGCTTGTCCCCTGAGGTTGTGTATGCACACCTATTCTGCAGTGTGTTATGAGCCTTTATATGAAGTACCCCCAGGGTTCTCCAAGTGAGATTTAAGACTTTTTAAGGCCTTTTTAATACTGAATGAAATTTAATGCCAACTTCAAAGCCATACTGGCAAAAGCTATGGAAGATATAGAATGGAAAATCAGTATGGATTTTAAGCCTTAGAAAATAATTATTTAGTAAGTAGGCCCCAACCAGTGGTGGGTGACAAAAATACTCTGCTGCAAGTAAAAGTCCTGCATGGAAAAATGTACTCAAGTAAAAAAAACACTTTGAGATTCATATATATTATATTAACAATTTATAATTAATGACACATTAATGCAAGCATGTCCAAAGTCCAGCCCAGGGGCCAATCGTAAACCGCCCACAGCTTGTCTTTCAAAATAGACATGGTCTTAGCAAAAAAGCGTGATGTCGTCTGCGAGGGCAGCTGCTTTCAGGAGAAGTGGAAAGTTGACTATTTTTTCAGTGACAGATGAAACAGTTGCATTTGTTTAATTTGTATGTGAGTTTTTTATTATTTTCTCTTTTTTTTTTTAATAACCCATGTAATGCGAGAAGCAACTGGCCCTCAGCTGTTTTCATATTATCTAATCCGCCCCATTCAAAAAATGTTTGGACACCCCTGCATTAATGTGTTAATCACTTTAAATGTCACTGCTGATACAAGTGAAGCTCATTTTAATTACTATGTTTATATCTGAGTAGTTTAATCTGTAACAATGCATCATCATTTATCTAGTAGTTAATTGTAGTATTAGTAATCTGAATCTCCAAAGTAACTAAAGTCATCCAATAAATTTAGTGAAGTGCTCTATTTGTCTCCAAAATGTAGTGGAGAAGAAGTATAAAGTAGCATACTGTGAAAGTACTCCCGTAAAGTACAACTGCCTTAAAATTGTACGTAAGTACACCACTTGAGTAAATGTACGTAGTTACATTCCATCACTGCTAAGTATCTGAATTTAATAAAACCTTTTACTATAATAGGGCACTCACATTCATATTCAGCCATTTGGTGATTGTTTCTTTTGTTGAGGCTTTCATCAAACATAACAACAAAGTTGATGACCTCACTGACTTGGTCAGTCAGCTGTTTGGTGATGAATGGAGCCAGACAAGATTTGGTGATGTACTTGTTGCTTCCACGTAAGGAAATAGTCATGATCGCAGAGTTGGGATTCATGGTTTCGAATATTGCACTAATTTTGTCATTCCAAGTATATTCCATTCAGTTTTATTTATAAAGCCCAATATCACAAATCACAATTTGCCTCAGAGGGCTTTACAGCATACGACATCCCTCTGTCCTTTGGACCCTCACAGTGGATAAGGAAAAACTCCCCCAAAAAAGGTGGTCTGCAGTCCCCAGTTTCCAAACCACCTCTGCTCAAAGAGTTGGCGTAAAGCCACAAAAAGCTTGCGGGTTCACACCCTGCGCTACAGACGATGCAACGAGCTAACGTTAGCTTGTTAGTGCAAAGTGTGAGACGTTTTGTTTTCTCATCTCACTGACATAGCTCGCGCTTTTGTGTGTGTATGTCCCTTTGTGATCATTCCATGTTCTCTCCCTTAATTCTGAGGTTTTTGCTAATCCATTAATGCAACGCAAATGTGACTTTAAATGTTTTTTCCTCAGCAGCTCTTTGTTGAGTTTGAGTCGTGGGGTGGTGAACTGAGCAGATTGATAAATTGGGTTAGAGGAGCAGCTGCTGCAGATGGAAGTGAAAGTAAACTTTTAAAGCTAGCGCTTGACTTTGGGGTCCACGGTTTCCACTAGACCCAGCAGTTTCTTCTAAAGTAGCGTGGAAAAACTATGAACAACACTAAAACAAGGGCGCTGTAAGAAATAGAGCATTTTATATCTATATGAAATAATGAATGGTTAAGTTTCACTTTCACTGCACTAGGCATTCTGCTGCTGCCGTCTGTACTTAGAGTACAGTCTGCTCAGAGTGTGGTGCGCTGAATAACTGAACGGTATATTATCCAATAGCGTTCCTAATGTCCAAAAATAGGAGATCAGTATGTCAGGAAATGCTAATATCATGGCAGGCTGCCACAAATTAATCAATGTAATGTGAATCCTAAAGTCATGTGAGTCACACCTCTTTATACATCCATAAGTAACACCAAAGAGAGATTATTCTAACATTACACACAAAACATTTTATACGTTTGACAGTTATTAATGATGTTACAATATATATATAATCCTGCGAAAGGACAAGAAAACAATTTAAAGCCTTTGTAAACAAAATTCAATACTTTTTGAACAAAATTCAATATTTTTAAGGTCTTACAAAGAAAACACTGCAGCCAGGCCTTGTGCCCAGTGCAAAAAGGTGGTGGCACCTCACATCCACAGTGATATTGGCATCCTTGGATTGGTTGCCTGCCTGTTTTTGAACTGACTGGCCACTCATGTGGATGCAGAAGTGTCCTGAGGACCCTGGCTTCAACTGGACGTCTGGTGAACGTTGTGATGTGTCAGCCATCTGAATAGAGCAGTGGGAGTCAGTGACTGTTTGGTGATATGCCAGTTTTGCAGGGAAACTGCGCATGTTCTCTGGTCTGTCAGACTTTTTCATCTCATAAGCTGGGTGGGTTTTCTCAGTATCTTGAACACGGAGCCAAGTATTGATTGGTTAAATCAGTGTCATCCTTTAGATCAGCTCTCAAAATATCTGCTTCATCTCTCTTTTACTGCTTTTTCTTGCCTGCTATGGTTCAGCGCCTTGCAGCATCTTATTTAAAAAGTGCTCCTATTTTTTGATAATGGCGGTTATTAAATGCATTATCCACAATCTTTTTAAAGACCATCAAAGGACAGGGTACAGCCGCATGTTGGTGCAAACATGTCACAGAATTTGAAATATGGGGCTAAAGCTTTTGTTTGTGTTGTCGGCGCACATATGTGAGTGTGTGTGAGTGGTTGTGAGAGCCCCCAAGCAACAGTTCAGAGCTGAAATGTATTCCACATCAAAGCCTAACCAAAATAAGACATTTGTATGCGCGCATAAAATGCCCTGTGCGGTCTAATTTGCAGCTTAAATGGTTTCAGTTACATTTATAAACAAGTCAATTCCAGTAATTAAGTACCATCAATAGAATACATTTTCAGCATTGACACGTTCTCTTCTGGGTTGTGTTTTTTTTTTTTTTTTTTTTTTTTGGTTTGGAACCACAGTTGGCAGAAAATCCTGCTTTACACAGTTAAGTTGCTGGGATACATATGAATGTTATTTAAGGCCCTGATATTCTCTCAATGAACATCTGACTAAAGTATGATGTTCAGTTTTGTTTTTGTTGTTCTCTGTGCTCACTCACTGGTTTAAAGTAGGTGGCCCAAACAGCGCTCAGCAGCATTTGAATCAAAAAAGTGTTGTTAGCCTGTGGTGCCAGCATTGTCAAAACCACACAGTCCTGATGAAACGGATCAGATATCTGAGTTTTTGAATGTTAAAGGTGCCCTGTGGAATTTTCTGGTAGACAAACAAAAGTTATGTTTACATACAGTTTTTCATCAAAACACATTGAGTGTATCCTTGAGGTCTAACGAGCTCAATGCATTGCGTTTCGTTTACATCAGAATAGCACAAATCCAACAGCATGATGAGTACGTGCGTTGTCTTGCATGTGCATACAAACAAACAACATGAAGACCAAAACATTACTACTCTTCCCTCCTGGTGATCAGAAAGTCCACAGTGTCTTTAAACTATTACATCAATAAAAAGAAAAGCTCCAATCAGACAGAGCGACTTTTGCAAGTTGCTGCATCTTTTTTTAATGTTGCTGTGCAAAAGAAAAATAAGATAGACGGAGGGCTCTCTGGCTCCAGTTGAGGATGAGAGGCAGTTTCCAAATAGTACCTTGGTCACAGGGAAACAGAGGTCTGTGTAGGTACAGATGTAGTCACCTAGAATTTCCCATACCTTCGTGATGGGACCCTGGAGGATCCGTAGCAGATCCCCGCTGGGACCTTGCCAGGTCCTTGACTGGAATGAGATTGAGCCTGTTTACAGTAGAATCTAGACATGCTTTGTCAGGAAACCAGTGGCTGGGAGTAGACTGGGAACTGACTGGGAGTCGAAAGGCCTTCCATTGGGAGGGAAAATTCTAGGTGGCTCCATCTGTATATGAAACCCTCCGAAAAAGGAAAAAACCACAGGGAGTACCACTAGCTGGTCCAGGAGCTTCACCTGGTCAAGGTTTATTTTAGTATGAGTCGGGGACAGTTTGGCAACCTGCTATTAAATGTAAGAAAGTAGTTAAAGCTATCAAAGTGAGCTAACGTCAGCTTAACACTGTACACTACCACTTGTTGTCATCACCACCAGCACAGAAGGCCCCCCTCTCAATTTATCTGATTGGACAAAGAGAAAAAAGGCCAATGACACTGGGCGCTTTTCCAATCTGAGTTAAGGTTTTTCAGCTCGAGGTGTTCAGGGTGCTCCTGCATGTGAGTGGAAAAACATGAGCCGCTCAAAAATGCAAAGCAGCGAGCAAAACACTTCACTCTCATTGAAAATGATTACGAAGAGCCCCCCCTGGCTGCTTGGTTGTACTCGATCTAATTAGGGCCCAAGGATTTTCTTTGTGAACTTTATTTTGATTGTTGCTTATTTCGTCATAAATATTTATTGTGATACAGAAATACATAAGATCAGAAACCAAGTTTTCAAGGGCTTCAAATAAGTTGATGCTCTTTTCCACATGATACATGATATATTTCAGTTTTGTTTCACACAATGAATATTAAAACTATACTGTAGACATCCTTTTTTTTCCCTCAGGCAACCTTTGCTACTTGTGCACATTTTTTTTTTTTTTTCTAGGCCCTTGGGTCAGATAGTGTTTGCCGTTTTATTTATTCAAAGCTGCAGAGTTGAGTTGAGTTTGCTTTATAAATAACCAGTGCAGTGCCAGTTTGAAGTGTTCAGAACAGTCCGATTGCTTTGCCTCTGGTATTGCTGCTGGCAGCTTTTTCAAGTTTTTAACTGGATGTCTATTTTTTGTATGTATATTGAGAGCAACAAATGACCGGAGTCAAATTCCTTGTATGTGCATACATACTTGGCCAATAAAACTGATTGTGATTGTGAGAACTGGTTATCCAAACAGCTTCACACTAAACACTGAGCTTCGTTTGGTCCTGAGCAATACACCTGCCAATGACATAGTTGCGTCCCCTAGCAGTGCTAGAGTATACGTGTCATTTGGGTGCAAAATCTCACACAAAACACAATACGCAACACACACAAACAAAGCCTGGTTATTTCCAAGAAAGAAAGCATTCATACCGAAAGTTACATCGCTTTTTGGGCCCAATGGCGTCATGTGATGGACCGTGAAGTTGTAATTGGCCTCAAAGCCCAAAACTGTTCCTGGGAGCTTGATCACAAGAGCTCGCACTCAACACTTTGCATCCTTGGATCCTCAGGAATATACCCGCCAAGTGTGATGTAGAGATGGGCATGAGTAGACGAGGACCTGAGTGCTAGATTTGGATGTTAGTATTCATTCGATGTAAATAGTAATTGCGGCAAAACATCCCACATTTAAACATAAAGTTTGAAATTTTTTCACTACATAAAATGGGTAAAATCTTATTCCTCTGTAGAGCTGCTGCTCGATACCTCCTTGCCCCACCGTTGCTCTCATTTTGTGTATCATGAGACACTCTGAAACTATCGTTGCAGGGGTGTGAGCTCCATTTCAGGAACAGTTGGTGAGAGTCCACTCGCATACTCATACACAGTGACAGGGCTGACTGTCGGCATCACTCGGCTAGCATTAGCTGCCACTGCTGCTGTTAGCTGAGTTAACCAGGCAAATGTTGAACTGATCAGAAGGAGAGCAAAGATGGTGCTTCATCGCTGCGTCTAACTTATGTAACAGCAGCAATAGAAAGTTTGCCGATTTATCTTGTGGTAACTTTGTATTAATGGTTAAGAAGGCTAATGGAAGCCTTAATATAGTACTCAAGTATTTTATAATAACTAAATACTTTAATCTTTTGGTTCTAACAAAGGATAATCTAATGAAAGTATTTAAAAGTTGTTTTAATAACTAACTTATCTCACTTTACATAAACATAATTCAACAAACTTCCTCCACGCCCACCAGCGGTTGTTGTATTCCAGGGCTCACATGGTAAACATGAAAATACAAACGCTTTATATTTCTGTATTGATTGTCTTTTCTTTCCCCAGGATACATTGCTCCATGGAGTGGTCGTTTCTACTCTCTCTGGGACACTGGGTAAGCTCTGCTGACCTTCACACTCTCACTGTCGATGCAACACTTGTTCAATCGAGTGTGTTTCCTGAGACGGCTGTAAACCCCCGTGCACCATCCCAGAGGGAAAAACAGTACAGCGCAGGCACTATGTTGAACTATTGTCTTACTTCCAAACAGCATCAGGCACCCTGTGTTCTCCAAATGCACTGCAACGTGTTTGATATTCCAGCACACCCTATCAATCCCCTCCTCCCCACCCTCCTGTTTGCTGACTGAAGCAGTATGGGATAGTTTTTTCCCTTCCTCTGGAGGCTGATACTAATTCCTTAATGTGCTGTGTGTTTTCTCTTACCCAGCTGTAATCACAAAACACTTTAGAGAGAAATATTTAAAATCGTATAGAAAGTGCTGTAATATTGAATAAAGAGGGAGCACACAGATCACAAAAACTAACAGCCAAAAAAGAGCATTACTCATCTCCACTGCTGAATTTGTTCATATTTTACCATGAGCATGCCGGGGAGGTAAATTTATCTTTTTTTCCTCATAATTCTGGAGTTAATCAGGAGGATCTATTGTATAATTTGTCTCAGTGCTCCCAACGCGCGCAACCCAACATGAATTACATCCTGTCTGTCTCCCCCTCCCCCTCTCTCTATCCTCAGCTACGCTAAGATTCACATCCCCATCATAGCGTCGGTGTCGGAGCACCAGCCGACGACGTGGGTCTCCTTCTTCTTCGACCTCCACATCCTGGTGTGCACGTTCCCAGCAGGCCTCTGGTTCTGTATCAAGAACATCAATGATGAACGAGTGTTTGGTAGGAGCATTTTATTTAAATCACAGCTCGACAGTTTTTAAAATTATGCTCCGAAACCTTTGTTTCTGCTGTAGTGGAGTGACAAAATACATAAGTGTTTTACCCCACTGTGAATTTCTGTCTCATTTTTTTCTTTGAAAGTAGAAATAGACAATTTTTTTGCTTTGACTTATCATTATGAAATAAATGTTGATGACACAAATTTGTGGCTACAGAATAATGACCCCAACAGAGGTGAGATTAGATCCTCCATAAACCTTGCTTTCACTGTGCAATTCTGTCTGCCACTGGGTGAGATCTCCCAGCAAAATTAAGGCTCGATTTGTGCCACAAAGGAAGTGCGTTATTATTGCACAACCAAAACAGGAAGAGGATAGCGCTTTGGTTTTTCTTGGAAGCTATCGGCAGCTATCTCCAATTACCAAAGAGTTTTAATGTAAGTTCTTTGCAGTTATTATGTGTCCTGTGTTTTTGGTTGTTTCTATCCTCTGAGGAAAATAGGAAGTGATCTGGTTGACTTGGCAACAGTGGCACCAACAATAATACCACTTGGAAAAGCTAGAGGGGGAGAAGTTGCTTTAATGACATCGTCAATGTTACTCAACATATAAATACAGGACCCTCCTCATGAAGTACCAGCGCAAGAAGTTTATGTTCAGCTTTGTTTCAAGGAAGTCATTTTTTGGTTTAAGGGAAGGCAGTGTCAGTCGTCCATCCTTCCACTTGTGTCCAGACTGAAATGTCTCAACATATATTGAATAAAATGGCCATTAAATTTAGTACTGACATTCATGATACCCTCAGGAAGCAACTTTGGTGATCCTCTGACTTTTTCGCTAGCTCCATCATCAGGTCAAAATTACACATTGTCCAAATTTTGTAGGGATGACGCTTTGAGGCTGATTAGCTGACCCTAGATGTTGAACATGATAGACATTAAACCTTTAATTAAAACTGCATGATAGCGTTATCATTGTTGCCATGTTGCCTGCTCATGTTCAGCATTTAGTTCAAAGCACAGACACTGTGCTTCCTGAAATAGCTGCACAATACGTGTCATTTCTTACTCAGCTAATACAGCAGCACAGACAGACTGACGCTGCTTTTATAAGAAGGAAACTAGACTATTATAACATTCTCCTTTCTGATCTACTGAGGAATACAATAAATCAGCTAAAATTAATTCAAAATTCTGCTGCACAAGAGCTTAATACCAAAAGGAGAGCACACAACTGATTACCTGTTAGGTTCTGTATTGATTTTGAAATTCTTTTATTAGTTTATGCGGCCTCATATGGCCGTTAACCAGAATACCTCTCAGAAATGCTTTTGGTTTATGAACCAGCACGGTCCCTCAGATCCTGCGGTTCTTCTCTTTTAGCTGTTCCACAAAGCAGAACAAAAACATTTGGCGATGCTGCTTTCAGCCATCACGCTCCAAGCTGCTGGAACAGCCTTCAGGAGGATCTGAGAGGAGCTGAAGATATTTGAACTTTGAAACTAAAAACCCATCTATTTAATTTAGCTGTGGTTTTATTTTAGATTTATACTTATTCTAATATCATCATAACTATTATTTTTTATTTAGCTCTTTTTGTTTTACCAACATTTATAGTTGATCATCATGATTTATTCTATTCTGTTATTAAAGATATACTATGCAGGATTTTTCTTAAAAAAACAATGTATAGACTCATACAGTAGTAATCCCTCTCTCTGCCCTCTGCCTGTATTTTCTTTTTTTTCCCTCTTATTTTCTGTGTTCAGGACGTTTATGGGCATGTACCCTCACATCACTCAGGTGAGGTCAGGGTTTTATAAAACGATAGCGACCAGGGGCCAGACCACAGCGCCCCAAAAAAACCCCACAAATATAGCAAGGTGAAATGCCAAGCAAGAGTGAATCTGGGGTTGGCTTTTATGTTCACTTTTGCTGGTGAGCATGCTTACAAACAATAACTGACAATCTTGCATAGGGTGGGAGGGTTGCCATCTAGTCTTTTTCTTGTAGTGAGCTTTGTATGCTCTTGTAGTACATCAGGAAAGGGGGTCCAGGTTCTCTCAAATCTTTCAGAGTGTATCTGATTTTTTCCAGTTTCAGAAATGACATGGTGTTTCTAATCCATCTGTTGAATGTGGGGGGTCTTTGTTCCTTCCACAAGAGAAGTATCTGACGTCTAGCAAGCAGAGAGGTGAAAGCAATGATAATATGGGATTTGCCTTTAAGAGATCGAGTTACATCCGTAAAGCCAAAAATGGCACATATTGGGTTTGGAGGGATGCTAACACCACATATTGTGGAGTAAGCCCGAAAAATGTCTGCCCAAAATGTTCTAAGGTGTGGGCAGGACCAGAACATGTGCATATGATCAGCTGGTTGACTTTTACAACAGGGACAAGAGGGGTCAATATCAGGAAAAGTCTCGGCCAGTTTGGCCCTGGTCCAGTGTACTCTTAGACGGATTTTAAGCTGAATCAAGCTATGCCTAGCGCAGGGGGAAGAGGTGTGTATGAATTTCAGCGCCGCCTCCCACTGATCCTCCCTCATCACTTCCCTTAAAGCACCAATAGTCAACCCCGCAAAACTGTCAGAATATTGACATTGAAGCATTTAAATATATCGATATTCGATTTTCTCCCAGCTTTAACTATGAACAGTGGTTACAGTGCATAAATTATAAATAGTATATTATAAGTCAAATAAAACTGAAAACAGGCAGCGCAGTGATCAGGAGTCTCATTCCAGGATCAGATCGAATGCCTCCTGCTTTAGGAAACATCCTCGTCAGTACAGTATCTCCTCTGTCTCCAGTATTGTGATGCACTCTCAGCTCTCCGTCTGCCTGAAAGAAAAACATTGAGGGCGACTCGGAAAAACAGCTCAAACAAAACTTTTATGTTTACAGAGTAAGACAGCCAAGATCAAGGACAGAGGACCTTTGAGCGCTGCAAACAGTCCTTCAGCAGCCCGTTTCTCCCTCAGACTTAATCAGCCAATTACAGCTATTGATTAGCCATGCACCTGTTGAGCCAGGTCGGCACTTTTCAAGGACAGGAGGCAGCCAGCACTCTCTCCAATTCAGAGTTTGAGCTCTGCAGAGCCAACGTAGACTGATTATGCTGCGTTACAACTCAATTTCTCTTTTTCATGTCTTTATCGCCTTCTCACACACACCGCCCCATTTCCTGTCTGTCCTTTACATTCACACCGTCTTTCTCCTTGTCTGACCTTTGTCTGCTTTGTTCTCCCTCTCTCCCCACCTCCTCCTCCTCCTCCCACCCACCTCCTTCTTTTTCTCTTTCCTTCCAGTGGCCCTGTATGCCATCAGTGCTGTCTATTTCGCCGGCGTGATGGTGCGTCTGATGCTGACACTGACTCCGGTGGTGTGCATGCTGTCTGCCGTGGCTTTCTCCAGCGTCTTTGAGCATTACATGGGAGATGACACAAAGAGGGAGAAACCCCCTGCGGAAGACAGCAGCGACGAGGACGACAAGAGGAATTCTGGGAATCTTTATGACAAGGTCACGCCAGGACAGAATGATTGTGGAAACACACATCAAACGAGAAAAGTCACAGAGATAGTTCCTTGTTGATTTAACACACCTTTACAGTTTGGATTTATTATTCATCAGCTTCCCCACAAGTTCAGCTCGCCAGTTTGGGTTGACTGTGATTCAACTGTGATTCAGCTGCAACTGTTTGATGCTGTTGCCATAATTTTAGCTGTCTCACTTTGTTGATCTGACTGCTCTCAACTGTGGCTTTGTCTATTCCAGGCCACCTTGTAATAATCACAGTATTTAATATGCTACCCACAAATAGCCATCCGTTTGAAACTTTTGCAGAAGTAACATTTTAGCCGGTGTAACAATTTTGTGAAGTTGACAAATGCTTCAAAAATGACACATTTCATTTCAGTTTTTGAACATCAAGACAGCGACGTTGAAAGTCTGTGTATGGTGACAGGTCTCATTACATATACTCGCTGCCCTGCACTGGTGGGGGAAAAAAAATGGAGAGATGGACATTTTGACTGTGCTTAAAAGCTGCGCCATTAACACAGGCTGCATAAACATCTCACACAATCTGATAAAAATTGTGACGCACATTTCTGTTGATAGGTGTCGGTAAAAACATGTTGTAAAGAGTAGCAGTGTACCAGTAATAGAGGGGTAGAAGTCTGCAAGCAGATATTAACAATGCAGGTTTTGAAAAAAGAAGATCCTGCAAAGGTTTTTGTGTTTATACAGTTTAAAGTTAGAGGGGGAGTGAAAGGCAGGGCAGTTATAATAACAGCTGCAGAGGACACAGGAAATACATTAAAACAGGACCTGCAAAACCATAGAGCATATTTCACAAGAACACATAAATATTTTAAAACAAGGACAGCAACACATAAAGAATATAAACAAAGCACGCTACAGGTTTTCAGTCAGTCAGAGTATCGTCACACACTTGATTATCTTTTAGCTATGATTTTAAGTTAGTTTTAAATGAATGATATGTGTCACAGTCTCTAATATGTGTTGGCAGACTGTTGCATGTTTTCGTACATAGGATTTATTTTTATTTTTTATAATTATTAGATATCAACATTATATCCAGGCCGTACCAGACTCAGAATTATGTCCGTGGATCAGATTTGGCTGTTCATTATGAATACTTAATTATTAGGGGTTCAACGGGAAGTTCAGGGTCACTGTAACATCCACATAATACAGTAAACGAGCCAAGTTAGCCCTCTGAGCTAATAAGTTTTAACGACGCTAACGCAGATTGAAATGTGCAACATTTTTTGCCTACATTATATATCAAACAAAGCCAGAGCTGTATTGTATTCAGTTGTTGTGAGCTGTAAATTCAGCACTTCTAAAGAAAAGCAGAACATAACTGACCTGAAGGCTGACCGGGGCAAAGCTATCTCACTCAGACTCACCCGGGGTTTGTGTCTGCAGCTGTCTGTACCATAGAGCTGAGTGAAAGTGAGGAGTGCTCACTCTGCAGCTAATTCAGGGGACCAAAACATGCCCAGAGGTACACGGCACACTGATTGACATTTAAAAGAAGAATCTCAAGTCGAGTCAGCTGAGGTGTCTCCGACTGATGATTCAGATGTTTGACTTTCAGGGGGCAGCCTTATATTATATGATATTTACAGGCAAAATTCTACAGGGGTCCATGTAAGACAGACAGTCATTTCCACTGTCAGCAACTCATCAGCCTATCATGTTCATGGAGCAGTTAAGTGTTAAAGGCGATGTTTGCTAACCATTTTTGTCCCCTATGTTAGTTATAGTTTGTGAACCTTTACTTACTCAGGAAGTCTCTTCAAGATTAAGATGACTTTACAAGACAGACGTTGAAAGAAAGTGTATATATACAGATCACATGACAACAAGATGGTACACACACACACACACACACACACACAAATATACACTCTAATTAAAACAGTCACAGATATTATTAACAATATCAGCGAGTACAGGTTTGCAGTCCCTCTGTGAAATTGGAGTCAGTAACAGTTTGTTTTGCAGTTCATTCCAGTAGTAAGGTGCATTGTACGCAGCGTTAACAGCTATCCTCACTCACTTCCAGACACATTTGAGGTGTCAGAGCCAGTAATTGGAGATGCTGGTAAAGAAAAATATTCACATTATGCAGATTTCCTCCTCTACAGAGTTTTTATAGCCTTAACAATTCTCTGCTGCAAGTGTGAAGCGATATTAACTCATCACAGGGTTCATCTCACAGTCCTCAGTGATGCATCACACACTACAGAAAACTTGAGGATGCTGTAAGATACTTTGCTCAATTAGTCCATTCAATAATTTATTCCACTAAATAATTCATCTCCCTGGAATGCCACAGACTCTGCCATCCATCATAATAGCATTTGTCTCCCCCTGCAGGCCGGCAAGGTGCGCAAACATGTGTCAGAGCAGGAGAAGGCAGAGGAAGGTCTGGGTCCGAACATCAAGTCCATCGTCACCATGCTCATGTTGATGCTGCTGATGATGTTCGCCGTGCACTGCACCTGGGTCACCAGCAACGCCTACTCCAGTCCCAGCGTGGTGCTTGCCTCGTACAACCATGATGGGTAAGTGCACACACACTTTGGCTGCAAGGTGTTAATAACATTACAGCTGAAGTGTTACAAGCACTGAATTCATTCATCTAAAAATAAGGCCTTAAGTGGTATCTTTTAAAAAGTCTTAAAAAATGCTAAGACATGGGAAAAGTAGGATTTTATCATACGAGGCTTGATGTATTTTATGCAAAAAGTCCTTCAAACCCGGCATGATGGGAATCAAGGCAGCAGAATCCCACATGCAGAGTGAGAAACACAGGGCTTTTCCAAAACCAGACCCTATCCACTCCCACTCCTTCGCTGAGTGTAACTCCATTTGTAGTCACCTTCACAGCTGAATGAAGCACCCTTCATCGGGGTGTAGGGTTTAAGTACAGCTGCGAGCTTTTGGACAAACGTCTCTCTCTGTGGCGGAAAGAGGAACTGTCATACCAATTCATAACCATGAAGAAAATGAAAGCTTATTCCCATTTTACGTTCTCCTTATGTATTTGTAGTACTTTTACTTGATATGTATGTGCTGCTGTTGTTTACCTGAATTTTTGCATTATATCCATTTGTTATTAAAAGAAATAAATAACTTGATGAATAAATAAATAACAATGAATAAATGAATAGTTCCTGTGAATATACAAAATGATTTCATAACACTTTAAACCAAATGCATACAACTGTTTTCAGGAGACTAGAGAAGGGTATGTTTTATCCTAAATACAGTGTAACCTTAAAGTTGTTAATGTCTGTATGACAATATTAAATGCATATCTTAAGCCTCTTTTACACTGCCAGATTTTCGGCGAATGTTGGGCCGTTTTGCCGGCAGGCTGCGAGTGTTTGGACACACAGAGCCGGATTGGCGAGGTGATCTGAGGTGCCTAATTTTCCGCCTCATAGACGGAACCTTTTTGGTTTAAAAAGAACGAGATGCCCTTCCGCCATGGGAGGGGCTGTTGATGACTTGTGGGAGGAGCTGTTGATGACATCACACGTGCGAGCCACTGGTGGTGGATAAACAGGAAACAGCTGATAGCAGGAATTAGCGAGCAGCTAGTAGCAAGAGGGAAACGCAAACCTGACAGACACTGTAAAGATGAGCAGCTGAGAAGACAAGGAATTGTGTGCCCTCCTTGTCCTCGCAAATGAAGAGGCCATTAACCGTCAAGTGACGGGAACAGTGAAGGACAGGCCAACTTATGAGAGAATCGCCGAAGGACTGACCAGCCGCGGCTTCCCTCTCACGTCACTGTTTACGTCACACACTGAGCTACACGTTTTGTTACTTGCTCACGCCCCCCATTGCCCCAAAAAAGGCACATTCTGTATGAACAAAAGTAGGTAGGCGGCATTTTGCTACACTCCCCGATTTGTTTTTATACTGCCAATGCTGAAAAAACAATGTTTGGGCTTTCCTGCAAATTTACACAATTCCTGTATAAAAAGGGCTTTACTTTAAGTAGTTTACCTTGGTAAGGGCAGTCAAATTGAACTTAATTTGTACAGAGCATCTTCCATGGCGAACACAATAGGGCCTTGCACATGGTCAGGAGGTCAGCATTGATGCAGTTGTGCTGTTGGAGGATTTAATAACACACTTCCCCTCCTCATAAGTTGGTTTGGGACGACACTCAATGTGGTGGACCCTTTGCATTAATGTGGAAACAGTGGAAGCAGGGGGTGGTTTGGAAATGGCCTGCAAAATCACCAAGAAAACTTGCCTGCAAAGTCACATATTTGCTGGTTTTACTCTACACTTGTCCCTGACTCGAGACAAAAAAAGGTCACATTTTATATTACAATAAACATTTGGCCAAAATTGCCCCTCACCCTAAGTAATTGATGTCGGTTCATGTCTTTTTTTCCTTTCCTTTCAATCATTGTAAAATTGGTTTTAAATTACATTACGAGTGGCATTTAAAAAAGTATTAAAAAGTCTTAAATCCAGCATGCTTCGTGCTGTAGAAACCCTGGTTAATAGATGTTAAATAACCGCAAGGAGCCAGGCAAAGTCTCAAGTAATAGTTCATAATGCAGGAGAATGGATTGCACAACCTTGCATGCAAATGAGCGCATGTGTGTGAGTATGGAGGAGCACACAGAGCGGCAGGACGGAGGGAGCACATGTATATTTCATAAGAGGTTTGTGGAAATATTGATATGTGTACCTATAAGCTTTAATATGATTGCTTAACTTTGTGTTTCTAGGTCAATGAAAACATCTGCGAACCATCTCAGAATTTACAAAAAGCTGATATATTATTCTCTCTGAGATTCTTTACAGGCATAATTATTCTCTTTAAGCATTAGGGAGGAAATATTGAAGGCTAAGACTAAATGGTAGACGCAAGTCCTCATACATATATTAATGGAGCCACAGCAGCTCTCAGACAATGGTTTTAGCTGTGCTACTGGGAGCAGCGTGGCTGTCACTCTGCTCCTTTTTCTCTCGCATATATACACCCACACACTCACGCATAAATGCACACACTCTCACAGATATAACATGATTAGCATACCTACAGTTAATTGGTTCCTTGGCTTTATGTCTGCTGCTGCTCCTTGAGGTAAATTTAGGACACGAGCGTTCAAAGTATGAGGTGTTTTTTAACCCTCGGTTTATTATGCATGGATGGTCTATTTTCAGCTGTCATTGCCCTTCTGATTCAAAGTCTTAGCTGAAATATTAATAGCCTCCGCAGCCATATGCCTGTCAACGCTGTTACCTGTCAACCTTATTTTCCCCGTTAGGACGCGTAACATCCTGGATGACTTCAGGGAGGCCTACTACTGGCTGAGGCAGAACACGGACGAGCATGCACGTGTCATGTCGTGGTGGGACTACGGGTACCAGATAGCCGGCATGGCCAACAGGACCACGCTAGTAGATAATAACACATGGAACAACAGTCACATAGCGCTGGTGAGCCTTCTGTCTGTTTCTCTCATGTCTCTCTTCTGCATCTCTTCCTGTTTTGATTCATGCTCATACAGAAAACAAAAGATTTCCTCCAGTCTTCAGTGAATTTCTTATGTAATTGCCACATACAGTAGTATAAAACCGCTCCTTCCAACAAGCCAGATAATCTTATTTGCTTAAACTTTTCCCATTGAATTTACACTGTAGGGGGATTGCAGTTAATTGCTGTCAGATGCTGTGGGTTTGATTTATGTTTTTTGCTCTCTCTGCTGCCAAATGTAGAAGAATGTTTTTGTCTTTTAGTTAAGTCTGATAAAGCCCTCTAGCTTTCTTCTCTCTTGCTTTCTACCTGCTGCCTGTTGTCTCTTCAGCATCTGTCCGCAGGAAATGTAATTACAGAGAGTACAAGATGGATGTCTGTTTAATAATTCCTGTTTTTTCCCACTGCTGTTTCGAAGCATGGCGTCTTGTGAAACAGGAAACTCTAATTAAAGCACAGCTCGTCACTCTCCTCTGTTGTTTTTAGGTGGGCAAAGCCATGTCGTCCAACGAGAGCGCGGCGTACAAAATCATGAGGTCACTGGATGTGGACTACGTGCTGATCATATTCGGAGGTGTGATCGGTTATTCAGGAGATGATATAAACAAGTTCCTGTGGATGGTGAGGATAGCGGAGGGAGAGCACCCCAAGGACATCAGGGTGAGTGTGAGACCTGCTCGTCACTGCAGCTGTTCTCCAGGAAATCTTGTAGCAAGCACTTACACACAGCAGTGAAATCAATGTTTCCTCTTCACTCTCACACCCTCTCTCTTTATAATGATGCTCAAGGACAGACTCTGTTTAGCCCACTGTGGTGCGTTCATGGCATGTTATCCGGGACTGGAGGCACAGCCTGAATAGTAACCTACTGTCAATGCAGAAAAATGTCACATTCAGATTTTTACATTCATCCCCATTTTACTTATTCTTTTATTGTCTGGCTTGAATAGTCAGCGTATAGCCACACAAACACACTCAGTAGGTTCACATGCACTCAGAAAACCAGATTATTCAGGGACACTAGAATATGCATTTACATTTACATCCTGGTTACTGTAAACCTGCGTAGAAATGTAGACATTCATAGGCTACTGTTTTGTGATGTGTGGGTCAAACCACATCCCGAAGCTCCTGCGGGCAGTTTGGGTAAGCTTGTTAGAAAATATGGTGTGTTGTGGGTGTGTAGGTAATTAAGTGACAAACTAGCATTCTGAGTAAGTTATTAATAACTTACAGAAACATTAAGCCACAGTCCATCTTCCACCTTCTCCTCCACTCTCTTCATCTCCCCGTCTCTCTCAAACACACACAGTAAGCAGCTTTATCATCAGCACTGCTCCACTCAGGGTTTCCATTATCCGGTATTTGACCAGGAGAATCAGTGTAAGTCTGACATATTTAAATCTCTCCGCTCATTAAGTCCGGTAAAAATATGTCTCTCTGAGAATATGTAGGCAGAACACTGAGTCCTAACAGCAAGCAAGCAAGTGCATCTCTGTCCACACTGAATCCATTAAATATGCACTTCTGTTACGTCATGTTAACAACCCGCGGGACCTATCAGCTGTGCACTCGACATTAAACTTAAGATGTAACCACTTAAAAGATTGGTGAGTAGCCCTACTTGCTGTCGTCCTATGTTTGTATTTTTAAACAGAAATTTTATTTGTAACATTTTATATTTACTGAAAATGACATACAATATAGCCAACAGCAGCAGTAGGGTGTAATGAGACAGTAACAGGTTTTATTGTCGCGGCCAGGCTTATTTTACGCAACTGGAAGAGCCCACATAAGCCGGAGTTTACAGAGTGGCTTAAACTCATGACAGAGACTGCTGCCTTTGAAAATATGATGCCAGGGTGAATAATGTTCCAAGCTAAACAAGCCAAATATGGCAAATTTTTCTGGTTCACATAAGAGGTGCAACATTCTCGAGGGGGGGAAGGGTACGAGGGGACAGGATGTGTATGTATGTATGTATTGTAATGTATTATATGTGAATATGAATATGCATATGTGTTGTATATGAATATGTATGCACGTGTATATCCAAGATTTATCGAGGTGCCAGGGTGCTTCCTTATGGCTGCCTTTTCTTTTCCTTTTGTGTTTTTTCTCTTGACTGTGAATCCTGTTGATATCATCTGTATTTTTGTATGAAGTCATTATCTTGAAATGAATAGTTTTAACAACAAAATACAGTGAGAAAGTCAAGAGACAAAATATAAAATAGAGTTTACAGTAGAAAATATGAAATAATATAAGAAAATTTATGCAAGATATTTACCAGAGATGTGCAGAAGTTCACAGTATGAAGTATAAAGTACGAAAGTATGTGCATGTGGGGAGATAGTACAAGTAAAAAGCAGGTTAGAAACCCTGCTACCTGTGCACATGGCCAAGAAATCTGTCTTCTCCAGGAGAAATCTATCTGAGGAAACCATGTGTCTCTAATCCCCCACTCGGATAACAGAACCAGGTTTGGTGATCACATGAAGTTTAAGAAATCAGCTTACTGGAGCAAGTCGCCTGTAACCTGGTTACTTAAAGTAATAGCTGAACATTTTGATACCGCTCTCATATCTGCACGGCAGATGGCCGCCCACCAAGAGCCTGGTTGTGTTCGAGGTTTCTGCCTGTCAAAAGGGAAGTTTTTCTTAGCTGCCATCGGCAAGCGCTTGCTCATAGGGGAAATTAAAGAGTATGATGCCAAACCTGCTCTATATGATAATGTCCCAAGATAACGCTTGTTATCATAAATAAACTTGACATGACTGCAAATATGAGGCTAAAAAAACTGGAAACAACTAGTACAAATTCAAAAAATTCAAAATCTACCTGCAAGCTCTTCTAAAGATGAAAAATTACACATTGTACATCTCCTTTAACACATACAAAAACAGAAAACAGTGTATTTAAAATGTGTAACCATTCCTTTGAGACTGCATTTGTTTCTGTTTTTGTATTTATCAGAGATTCACATGCTGTTGTTTCACATTCTATGTTATGAATAAGTCATTTTTAAACTAGCCTCACATAGCCAGACCAATCTCACACTGCACCAGGACTGGAGAGAGGTCTGCCTGAACCCATCATAATTCTGCACTAAGGGAAAATATAACCTGGATTGTCTGTATTTCTGTAAACCAATCACAATCGTCTTGGGCGGCACTAAGCCCAGGATGCGGCGACATCCTGGGTAAATTCGTTCCAACATTCTGACACGAACATAGCATTTTTTCTGGCGGACAAATCAGGAGAATATTACCTTTGTTCGAGACCTGTCTCTGTCTCAGCTACACTCTCACGAGACCTGGCAACAACTGATACGAACTCGGTTGATATCAGATATTAAAGTTGCCCTATGTCACTCTAGAGAGTTGATTTTTGAGTCTCATCTCCAGGTCGTCAAATGCCGACACCTCGGGTTGGTAGTTGGTCCGAACCACCGACTCAAGGCGTCGCGATTTGACAAACCGGGAGACTCGGCAATCAACTATCTTTCTCTGGAGACGCAAAGGGCACTTCTAAGCTAGCAGATATAAATGTGCTGCAAAATAAGGAACAAATTCTTACTGTAGCTTGTGTTGTATTGTTTCGAATCTGCCTTCTTTTAAGTGGACACAGTATTTTTTTATTGATACTAGTGATAACATTCATTTATCTTCATCCACCATGCCCAGTTTGGGCCTCATCAGTTAGCATATTCATATCTACCTTTATCATCACCTCTAGTCATTGAGTGCTAATTAGTTACTTCACTAACTCATTCTCTGGACTTTCCTCTCATATTTGTCTTCTTTAGGAGAGCGACTACTTCACCCCTCAGGGAGAGTTCAGAGTGGACAAGGCCGGTTCACCAACTTTGCTCAACTGCCTCATGTACAAGATGTCCTATTACCGATTTGGTGAAATGCAGGCAAGGAGAGACACTTTCACTGTCTAGCAGAATAACATCACCAAAAATCTCAACAGCTCTGCAGGTCTTTCATCATTTTTTCATCTCCAGGTCAGGTCAGGTCAGGCCAGCAAGAAACTCTGATTTTAAAGAGATTTTCGGGGGGTTATGATCCACTTCGTAGGTATAAATAATGAGTTCCAGCTTTGTGCAAAGATCAGAAAGTAACAAGCAGCTGCCATTGCCAGAGATTTAAAAACTCTGGGTACTATATTTTATGCAGCTTTACGAGAGAATAACAAGCAGCTGCCACCACCAAAGGTGTAAAACTTCTTGCTACTGTATCTTAAAAGCGGTGCTGGCTGACAGACAGGCAGGAGAGGATTCAAGGAGATGCCTTGAGGAGCTCCTGAGGTTCGGAGAGGGGGGTGTTTGGGGGGGAAAGGATGGAGGAGAAATATGAAGGATTGGCAGAGGCTTTCGAATGTGCCACCGCTACTTCTGGCAGGTAGCAGAGGAGAGATGAGAGGGATCCCTCATGCCAGGTGCTTACATCTCGGCTGTAGATGCAGCTCGGCCAACAACTGAGTGGAGATGGGAGAGTCAGTGCAGCCGCCATCCGTAGACAGACGGCCAAAGCTCTGCGTGGCTCACAGCGCTGTTTCAGGGTAAAGAGATGGCACAGAAGGAAATGGAGGACAGGAGGGAGTGAGCCCGGCGAGGGAAGAAAGAAAGATAGAGTAGAGAGGGTAGATTAGGTTTACAAAAACAGGATGTGACAAGGGGAAGCAGAGGCTTAGAGGACATCAGGAAAAAGACGATAACTAGATAGTTGAGGATGCAGTTTGTAGCAGCGAGTAGAGATTAAAGGATCACACTGACAGTGGATAATACAGTACAGAATAGAAAGTGTGTACCGTGGACTTCATATCTCCCCAAAAACAAACTCATTTATCTCTTGACATTTAAATGACGGGTTGAGCAGTGCTAGTAAATACAAATCCAGAGATAAACCATTGTGACTAATAATAATTTAATATTTCACACTCCGTGTCCTCTGAGGCAGCCCGAAGGTATAAATGAGATGCTGTTCTGTAGACAGTACACAAAGGGAGAGTGAGAATGGAAAAGAAAGGAGATAAAATACAACAGAGGAAAGGTAGAGACTGCAGCTTTGAGAATAGAGGTGACAAGGGCAAAGCAAATGTGCGAAGGACACAGTAAGAGCTCTTTGGGTAGAATAATAGGAACAAGAGGTTGTGAGTGGTTCATACAAAGTGTACTGTGGAAGCTGACAGAGGGCAGATGTGCTGTAATCAAAAGGCTATCAAATGTTTTTGTTTTCTTTTATAATTGTGTTTGTCCTTGTGTGCATCTCTTTGAATTAATAAAACTGCGGTTGGCTGGGATGAAAATATAATGATAGCACTCAAATACACTGCTCAGAAACATGAAGGGAACACTTAAATCACACATCAGATCTTGATGAACGAATTATTCAAGTTGAAAATCTTTACTGATGTACTTTCTTTAATATGTTAAAAAACAAAATGACGTAACAACAGTCAGTGGAAGCCAAAATCATCAACCCGCTGAGGGCTGGATTCAAATTCACACTGAAAATCAAAGTAAAAAATTGGTATCACAGACTGATCTAACTTGTTCCAGGCACAAATGTAACGTTATCTTACCTGATGTGTTTAATCCAGCGACTCCTGGTGTTTTTATCAGCCGAGAAGTGAAAGGAAGATCTATCCTCTGATCTGTCAAGTCAAGAAAGTGACAAACTGTGACTTTCTTATCTTGCAAAATTATCCTTTACATTGACATCATATGTGTAATTCTAAATTACTTGTCTCTTGCCAGTAATGACTGCACATACTTTTTAAAAATAAGGTCACATGGTGGTCCACCAAAAGGGGAGAAACTTTGTCTCTCTGTATCTTGTTTCATTAATTCGTATTAAAACTGTGCAAAAATGAAAAATGTGCCAGTTTAAGACAGAGCCAGGCTCGCTCTTACCGCTTTGTTTGCGGTCTTTGTGCTAAGCTAAGCTAATGGCTGCTGGCTGTAGCTTCATATTCAACATACAGACATGAAAGTGGGATTCATCCTCTCATCTAACTCTATTTATTTTTCCTTTATATCCCAAATCCAACTATTTCCTTAAACCAAAAGCCGTTTTCTAAGTGACATTTTACCCAACATGCACAGTTAGCTGATAGCAAATACTTTATCCATCCTCCAGCTGGACTTCCGGACGCCTCCTGGCTTCGACCGAACGCGCAATGCCGAGATCGGCAACAAGGACATCAAGTTCAAGCACCTGGAGGAGGCGTTCACCTCGGAGCACTGGCTGGTCCGGATCTACAAGGTCAAGAACCTGGACAACAGGGAGCCGCTGGACCACAAGCTGCGCAGTGTAGTGCCCAAACAAAAGTACACCTCTAAAAAGGTAGGAGGAGACTTAAATAAAAATGCATGGTAATAAACAGCTCAATATATTACAAATGAAACAGAATATATGCTCCAATATAAGTTTGTTAGATCAGTATTGTACATAATTTATACATGTTTATATATACAGAATACTGAAGAAGAGTAGCTCTCAGAGTCAACAATTTCTGTGGCACTAAATTCATTATTTTCAGTCATCACAGTCGTTAGATCATATCAGTAGATTCTGTTTGATGCCAAAAGTGATAAATAAGTCATTTAATCTGTTCCACCCCCCAGGCCGGGGCCTCCACTGTGTGTCAAGTTTTATTAGTCATAAATATGAAAGAAACATTGTGTTCAGACACCTATCCAACCTCTAATGTTTAGAGCGTAAAGGGGCTCAGAACCTTATGATGGAGGTATATGATGGCCAGTCTCATGCTCAGTTATGTCTCATTAGTTGTTGCAGCAATTTGTAGCTTGATTACATTTGTTACACAGATTTGGTGCCAATTCAAAGCATTTTCCACTTGAGAATAAATAAAAATATCCAAAAATCCCTCCAGAATACCACATTAAGACACCAAGACCTTGATAAACACCACAGAAAAATCCATGCTGTGATCTGGTAATTGGTGATTTCTGTAAATATTTCATTTTTTAGTGACTGGATAGCACGAAATCCCCTCATTGTCAGTATACCCATGAAAGCCATATGTCCCCTGAATACCTGAGGTGTCTAGTTAGTGGCTGATCATCCTAGAGGTCACAATAATTCATTTTATACGGTGAGGTCCCTTTTCAAATGGTCTCACTACAATGAAATGGCTTCTGTGGGGGCTAACATCACATATTAATACAGCTGGGCTCATCGAGTCTATAAGAGTCTCAGCTTCCCAATCATATCCAATATCTGCTATTCCAAGACTGTTTAAGGACTCCAGCATGCAGAAATATTCAAATACAACAGGCAAAAATAACACATTTGTACTACACGAGGGAAAAAGTGCATTTTTACGGCCAAAACTGCACGAGGCTAGTTTAAAGTGGGCATGTCTGTAAAGAAGAGACTCATGGGTACCAGTAGAACCTATTTTCATTCAGGTATCTTGAGGTGAGAGGTCGAGGAACCCCTGTGAAAATGGCCGTGCCAGTTTTTCACTCAACAAAGTTTAGCTTAACTTTAGAGCGTTATTAAACACCCTCCCTGACAGTCTAGTATGACATGTGGGATTTAAAACCCTGTGGAGTGGAAGAGGTTACATTCAGTTATATCCGGTAAATTTGAGATGAAAATGTTTTTAGTTTGAGAATAGTTGGTTTCTTCATCTTTTTTTTGTCTGTCCCTCTGTCCAGACTGCCAAGAGGAAGCGAGGACACATCAAGAACAAGCTTGCCCTGAGGAAAGGCAAGAAACTACAAAAAAAATAAATGGTGACGATGAACTCTTCTAGGAAAACAAGCAAACAAACAACTGCGAAGAAACCTCTAACAACCAATGAAGAAGAACACAGGGGCCGTTTATCTGGCACTTGGTCTCAAGCGCGTCTCATTAAGAGCGCCCCCGTGTGGTGAGGAAGTTGAAGAAGTCTCATATCTGGCTAGCTCCAGAACTGTTGTCCGTTTTATCCTGAGGACCTTTGTCTTGCTTATTTTCTCCTGTTTTTTTTTTTTTTTTCCTGTTTGTTTTTTGTACTTGAATGTGCGGCGAGGCATAGGGCTGCTCTACTTGTTTCGGCGTCGATTTAATATTTTTTGCGGTACGTTTAATTAACTGCTTCTCAGTGCGGGGATCGGGGGTGTGAGGAGGTGAAAGGGGGAGAAACGAGAGGAACATTTTGCACCAAAGACCCATCGACCTTGCTCCATGGCACATGTGAACTCATTACTGAGAGTGAGGAGAGGACGCGCAGGAGTGAACGCTTGAGGACTTGTTCCTGACACGTGTACAGAGGACAGTATGCGGTATGGAGGAACGTCACCGTCTCGGCACAGCCCATCTGTAATATTAACCTTTTTATCATCATCCTCTCCTTTATGTCTGCCTGGCTCCCTGACCTTCTTTTTCAACAAATTCTTTAGAGAAAAAAAAATTGGCCTAATATGTAAATATGATATGTAAAGAATAAGTCTAAAAGGATGATAATATATTGGATTATTGTGGTGATTTTTAAATATGCAGTTGTCAGTTTTTCTTTTCATTTCTTTATGTGATTGTTTTGTTAATTTTCTTTTGTATGACAGCAAATAGAACAGTGAATGCAATAATTCTTGTACAGAGGGGCTTGAGATTTTGTTGGGAGAATGAATGTGAATTTTTACAATGGCCACCCCCCCCTCCACACCTCCCCCTTTTTTTCATAAATTGCATAGATTGTACATTTCTGCTGCTAGGGTTTTAAAGACGGAGAGCGGGCGACTGTGTAAAAAGTAGTGATAATAAATTAGGCCTCCCTTCCTGCAGAGGGAGCTCTCTAGTTTAGCGTGCAAAGCCTAGTGCCTCATCGCTGGTCACCATCGCCTCGATAAATTTGTGACTGTCTACTCCGTTAGCGTTTTTCTTTCAGCTCATCACGTATCAATGCGACAGCGGGTTGGGTGCTTCGACCAGACTGAGGCATTGGAAACTGGAAATGTTTGAGATGTCTGGAAATAGACGGGTGAACTGTGAAGGGGGGAAGTTAGTACACAGGCACTGAAACTGAGACAAGAGACGACTGAGGTCAGGAAAGGTCGAAACCTCCATCGCTGTCTGAGACTACGGTGGACTAACGATCATCTTTATGGTTCTTTATTAGAGCTGTGTCCTAATTCCACACTGCATATCACACTGTAAAATTAAAGGGACAGTTCACCCCAAAATCAAAACTACATGTTTATCCTCTTACCTATGCTGCTGTTTATCATTGTAGATTGTTATGACGTGAGTTGCAGAGTGTTGGAGATATCAGCCGTACAGACGTCTGCCTTCTCTCCAATATAATGGAACTAGATGGCACTCAGCTTGTGGTGCTCAGAACGACAAAAAATGAATTTGAAAAACTAAACAGCAATGTCTGATTGAAGAAAGCATGACCTAGTTACTTAAGATAATCCATAGGCTTTGTTGTGACAAGTATGTAGGAACTATTTACTTTCTACTGAGCTACACCTGCCAGCTGTGTCACCGCTCAGAAGGAAGAGGGTGCTCTGTTCCAATACCAGTATCACACATGACTCCGATCCTTCCTAAAAAGCTTGATCAGGTATCAGAGCAACTCTACTTCTTTTTTGCTGTTGTAAGGCTGAATCCAAATGTCCACCCTCTGGACTTGCAGACTGAGCCCCCACGGACTTCAGTGGAATGTACTGTGATGTGTTCACTGTCATCACGTAAAGGCTGCGAGGGCAGAGACTGTGCGCCACTGACAGACGGGCCTCAAGTCTGTTTCAGACTTGTTTCTGGCATAACACTGCACAGCTTTTACAGGGGAGGCTGCAGTAATGAAATGCATTTTGATTACCTTTATAGCCTAGACTTCTACATATTTCTGTATCAAATTGTGGTTTAATATTATTTTTGGCCTATTTGTTTCGTGTTATGTTATAACACAGTAATTGTTTTACACAGTCATGATGTTGAGGCACCTTGTGGACTGGATGAGATGTGGATTTGGACAGTCTTCAGCAGTGACAGACTCACAGAGGGAACGCGCCCGCAAAGTCATTTGGATTCAGCCTTAAACAGTTGTCTGCATAGCAAGTTTTGCTGAAGATGAAGATGCATTAAGACAAGTTCCCCAAAGCAAAGAAGAACAGACAAACTGTAGTATACAGCTGTTTTTTGTTTTATTTTTTACACAGTGGTATCAACTAGCACGCAAGTTCAGGTATTGGAATTGGTATCGGGAAGGAAAAAGTGGTATCCGAGCATCTCTACAAGGAAGCATGCATCTACTGCAAGCTCACCTAGCTCCACTGAGCCAGCACACGTTACAGCTAATGTTTCCATCTGGCACTGTCAGGGGCACTGGTCCATGAGTAGATGCACGCTTCCTTCTGCTCGGATTATCTTGAGTAACCACTTTATGGTTTCTGGAAAGAGACATTGCTGTTGAGTTTTTCACATGTATTTTTTGGGGCTTTGAGCTCCACAAGCTGAGTGCCATCTAGTTCCAGTCATTCAAGAGAAGGCAGACATCTGTACAGCTGATATCTCCAACACTCGTCAACTCACACCAAAACAATCTAGACTGAAAATATCACTACAGGTAAGAGGTAAAATATGTATTTTGGGGTTTGTGGGGTGTTCCTGTAACCATGTTTCTTAAATATGTTTGCAAGCATGGGGGCTGCAACTGTTGTTTCATTATTTTATCTGCTGATTATTTTCTGTTGGTTGTTTTGTCTGTAAGACAGTAAGAGCCCAAGGGGACTTCTTCAGATGACCTTTTGTCTGACCAACCGTCCAAAACTCAAAATTACACTGATATAAAACAGAGAAAAGCAGCAACTCCTCACACTGAAGAAGCTGGAGGAAGCAAATAGATAGCATTCTCACTTTAGTATTGACTGATAATTCAAATTAAAGGTATTAATTTTAATATTAGAATGAAAAAAACTCCTACAGACTGAAATGGTTATTAGAGCATAGTGTATTCCTTATAATAAAGTCCAAGCTGACATGTTGGCTAACGGCTAATGTTTAGTTTATGTAGTTTAATATAAGAGAAGGAAACCAAATATTCACATGTACAAGGTTTGTGAATTTTTGGCTTCTCTGCTTTTAAATATTAAACATTGGTTAATTTTCTTTCAGCTGACTCATTAATTAATGTGCTCAGTGTTTCAGCTTCCGTATGTAGTGTGCAGTTGGGACACAGCTGTGATGAACCGTAACCTTTGACCTCTTACTCTATGGGCACTGCACTGTTCTTCATGAGTCTGGGTTCCCCAGATGTTCTAAACACTAAAGGTGTTTGTACGTGCACGCTTCAGTAACTTTTTCATTTCTTATCACATAAGTGACACATCAAAGATTTAACACATCGTACAGCTGCACTTGTTTTGTCACGTCTCACAGAAAAGTGACTTATTAGTATCACCAGTCGTTTTTGTTCCTTTTTTTTAATTGTCTGGACCTCTTTCTTATTCTTGTTTTGATCTTCTCTGAAACTTGAGCGTCACCATTTCAGGCTTCAGACCTTCGACACGATGCCACATTGTTAATCCAGTCACACAAACGCCTAAAACTGAGTCACGTCCTTTTTCGATTTCTCATTCGTCAAGAGAGGAGAGAGTTCAGACCAAGCCTTAATGTGATGTACAGTTTGTTGCCCCCTTTTGTTTTTCATTTTGTGTCAGAACGGTTCCTTCCTCTACTAAGTTTCCTCGTTTCTTAGTAGCTCAGTGCCGTCTGTCCTGGACACGGTTTTTGTTTGATGAATCCCTCCCTCACCTTCAAAGTTTACATTTTTACATTGTTGTTCTGTTCAGCCATCTTTAAATATACACTTTAATGAAAAACATTTGTGTGAGTTGTTGTTCTTGGGGTGTTTATGAAGCAGAATGATTCACATACATTCTGTTGATATTCTTCTTGTGCAGATGTGCTTTTCCAACCCAGGTGAACACAGATCCAGCCACTTGATGGCAGCATTACCCTTTGGATGAAGACATTTGCTTCAGAGTCTGCAGCAGTATGTATAAAGAATGATGTAACCCTCACAGCAGTGTGGAGAGCTGGTGATGGGTTTAATTTTATCGTCACAAGGTGGAATCCTTCAGTGTGTGGGTAAATCTTGGCTGGTTAATGTAGCAGAAAACCTTAAGAGTTGAATGTGTTATAACATGTCATGATTACTTGGAGAAAAATGCATAAGGTAAAACATTAAGAGCCCAACCATCACAGCCATGCCAGCTACTATCATGTTGGGGTTGTTGTGCTCATTTCACCCCAGAAAACAAATCTGTTGAGTATGTTTGCAACTTTGCAATTTGTCACTAATTTTGGCACGCGGATGACAACAACAGAACAGCCATATTGTTACCAAAATCATCAAGTTTATCTGTCTCAAACTCAGGTTGTCAAGCTCAGCTCCTCCTTTAGTCAAATGTGGCTTAACTTTCATTATTCTGAGCCATGGTGTGTCAAAATGGGGGCTCAAATTATTGATGGGCCCCTGAACGTGACATGACACACATGCATTAAATTTTAATCATCAGTGGGCCATATCAAAACTGTCACTCAAAATGGCATACTCATATTTTTATGGCATACTATGACTTTTTAAATTATTTTTTAAAGTGAGTTTTTAATGACATCACCATACTGTTATTATGACTGACTTTTTACAATATATTCTTGTCATGTACAATACGAAGACTTTTTTTATGACATAATACAACTTTCTAATGATCGTTTCTATGACATACTGCAGTGTGAATATGTTTAATGATTTTTTAATGGCATACTAAACTATGGCTTTTTGTGCGTTTTAACGACATATTATACTTTTTTAAAGATTATTGTTATAGTCTATATTCTGACTTTATTAAAATTTTCATGACATACTACACTATTAGGTTTTTAAAAATATTTTATGACATACTATACAATGACTTTTAATGACATACTATGCTATGACTTTTTAAATTATTTTTTAAAATAACATTCTATACTTTGGCCTATTCAAAATTATTTTATGACTTACTATACCATGACTATGCTATAAAAATTTTTTAACATATACTTTTTATGGCATTTTTGATGACATTATACTGACTTTTGTCATTACATTTTTGTGACATACTATACTATGACTTTTTTTAAAAATGATTTTTATTATGACTTTTTAATGAAAATGTTATGACGTACTAATCTGATCTGATCAGATTATATTATTAAGACACCATGATACTATACTATGACTTTAAAAAAAATTGACATACTACACTATGACTTATTTGATGACATACTATACTGAATTTAAAAAATATATATATGACAAACTATTCTATGACTTTTTATTATTTTGATGACATACAATACTATGACTTTTTTGTAAAAAACAAAAAAGTTTCTGGAACAAGACATTGCTTTTAAAAAATTATATTTTAATGATTTTTTTATGACATTCTGTTATGGCTTTTTGATTAAATTTTTATGGCAATCTATGACATTTTTATGTTTTTTT